TGCCTAAGTAAGATGGCGGTGAAACACATGTTGAGTGAAAGCGGGAAGAATCCGGAATCAAGAGCAGAAAAGATGGCCACCATCGCGCGAAAGACTCGCAACTCACACAGATTGGGATCGGTCATAATATCTAAACGATGCGCAACACCGTGCAACCTTCTCAAATGACGTGTAGTCTTGAAGTTCAGCTAGAAACAACATTTCGGAAATTCTGGAATTGGGACCTTGGGTTCTAGTGATAGTGGCAAAGGCGGCAATGCTTCAAATGCGCGGCCTCTCCAAGTTGCTACCTGTATGGTTCCCCCTGAAAGCCTCCAAACAGGGGCCACAACCAGGAAGGCTTACTCAATCTGACGCATCTTGCTAGAATATTTAGAGCCCCCGAAAATGCTGCGGCAAGACTTAAGTAGGTCCTCCAACTCGAGCCATTCAGGGAACTGGCAACACCAGCCTTTGCAAAGCGACCTTTGCCATTCCACATCTGGCTGGGTATCAAGCTGAACCATCAAGCATGCAAATGGACACATTTGGACTCGATACCAGCCTTCATGAGCATCGTAGACGTTGCAGGCCGCCAAGGTGGCCTTGGTCCTGAGCCCAGGCCCATGGCTTTTTTTTAGTCTAGTACGCGCCCTCCAGCTGAACAACTTGCGGGAAGCCAACCGAATAGGACGTTGACACGTTACGTACGTTACGTGTCGGGGCCGATGCCTCGCAAAGCCTGCCTCGCCAAAGACATCTCACAAGGGACCCTCACAATGTGTGTTGGGGCAACATCCAGGAAAGGCCTTTGCCTGTGCGCAAAGGCTTGAGGCTGAGTTCACTTGCTCAGCCAGCAAGGAGAGTCCCAAGGGATTCAGTAATGTGCAGTCGGCCTGCACCGCCCTCCAGGCAAACAAGAATGTCATGGTCGGTTTGTGCTGCGCAGCTGACAAGACTGAGGCAGGAAAGCAGGTCATGCCGTCCCGCAGAAACGGCCAGAGTACAACTGCAGGAAAGTACGAGTGGGAAATTGATACTGTTGCACTGCTAATTACCTGCAACGTTGATTCTCATTGATTCGTCTTTTCGTGGTTTGCCCATCTTATTGCAGGCATCAGAAATACTACCTGTTTGAATGCGTCGAGAGCTTTCACTGTGCTCCTGATTTCAGAAGGGCTTGTGCCGTACTCTCCTGCGACAAGCCCCTGTTCTGATGCTGCTGTTACACACTGGGACATTGTGGAACTGATGCAAGAAATACAGCTTGCAGTCGGCCTGACTTGTTTGAATATAGGAAAAAGCGTATTGGTTGGCCCGCAAAACGCTTCACATCATTTACCCCTTCATAACAAGGACCCATCAAATTGTCGCCTATACGCCTCTGCCTATGCGAGGCTTCACAACACCAGCCTGGGCAAAATGCCTAACACTGTTGTGGTCCTGTCAGTCGATTGCCTACGCAACATGTACAATATGTCGCCACGAAGATGTGAACCTTCATGCTAAGAGAAAAACACTGCCCTATTCAAAAGGTACGCTTGTCCGATCTAAGCACAGCGAAATAAACAAACGCTGCTGAATGCGCACAGCCCTCTTTCTTCTCCGCAGGTACAAAAATAGGGCATGGCAGCAACAAGCGGCAGCCATAGAACATTTTTCAAGCTGACAAAGGCATGGCAGCTTTCCGGCTGTGATATCACGTTATCCATCCTTATCTCCCTAAAAAGGCGAGTTCACCTCCTGAATATCTGGCAAACATGTCAAATACTCAAGTCAATCGAAAGTCTGACAGTGTCTCATCTGATTCTTGCTTTGCAGCCCGGACTCTTCGTATTCAAATTTGTGGACCAATCTGCGAGACCGTGCGTGCCGCTGAAGGCAATCATGCATTGGTCACCACGAGCAAAAAGTGCCACAACCTTGACTGTCATGAGGCTACCGCTGCTGGAAATGGCGGAATCTTCAAGGAAACATGTTCGGATGGTTACCGGGAGGGATTGTGGCAGATCCACTGGTGCGCCCATGTTCGTCCCCGCATCTCGGCTGTGCAGCAAACAGAAGAACGGGTCAGGCGCAGGCACCTTCAATTTACATGTCAGCAGATTCTTCATGTGATTTCGTTAGTTGCCAGTCGCTACGGCAGTGAACTGATGGTGTGCAACCGTGCCTGTCGCTCTGCTGTGGGTGCCGCACGCACAGTCGGCATCGTTTGGTTTGCTCCTGTCAACCACCTCTACAATTGCAGTCACCTGATTGATGTCCACTAACAGAAGCGGATGATAAACATAGTCATGCTTTCATGAAGCATTGAAGCGGACTCAAAAGGAATTCCAACAACTGTTTGTTGCATCTTCAACACGCAGCCTCAATACACTGAACTATGAATGATGATAAATGCGCCTACCACAAACAAGAGATTACCACCGACGGCCTTGTTCTGGTAGGGTCACTGTATACGTCTGCGGCAGTGGCCTCAAACGATCATCCTGGTTCATGGAACACATAGCTGGACGCCCATCTCAAGGCGATCCAAATGCAATTGCAACAGATTCCAATGAGCAACCATGTTGGCTCTCTCCGTGAATGATTCTTGAGTTCTCGGTCCGGTCACCAGTGAGGTTGCAACAATTTGTCAAAAGTGAAAAAGAAACCCAGCGTTCCGTCTTCCGTGTGCTCCATGCGCCCGGCAGCATCATGGCCGTTCACCAGCAAGGAGTGGGTGTCGTTGTAGTACTCCGCCACCACCTTCCAGCCGCCTGCCCAGCCGTCCGCCCAGCGGGCCTTGAAGTACTCCAAGTCGTAGGCCCTCAACCGATTCTCTCTCCCGCTCTCTCTTTCTATCTCTCTCTTTCTTGCTTTCTCTCTCTCTCTCTCATGACACACACACACAAAAACACACTCAGTTGGTATGTCAGACATTCGGAACCAACCCATGTTGAGTGAGGTTGTGTTCTGAAAAGATCTGTGTTCAAAAGCAACCCAATCAATGGCCTTCTAGTTTGAAACATGTCGACATGTTGAAGCTCAAAGTAAACTACTACTTCGGGCAAAATCATTCAGACGTCGAACCTGTGAATCCATCAGGGGCCACGTCCTTTACAAGGCGGACATGATCTTCTACCTGACCCCACTGCTGGATGCTTGTAAGTGGCCTCTTACCTGGATCAACTACAAATAGCTCAGAGATGTATTCCTATGGCAGATTCAAACAACTTACACTAGTGAGACCAAATCAATCTGAAACGTAATGACCAAAGTGCGGATGTCAGAAGCTTGCGCATTGACCAAACAAGAACAATAACACACAATCTGGCCTTGCATGCAAAACCGTAATCCTCTATGCGCAGTCGCGACGTCAGTTTGTTGGCTCATGGTGGTTCGATTCAAGTCCTGACGGCATCAAGCGTTTGACGTTAATCAGCAGCATACACGATCTCACCTTTCCAGGCGCAGCGGTAACACAATGAACACTTCCAAGCAACAGCCGACACTATTGCTTCACACCATGATGCCTTGTGTCCGGACCAATAAATTCTGGTTCGATGAGAGCAGCAATTGCCAAGCAAGCAATGATATAGGTGACAGCCACGGTGACAGTACATGCATATTCGGCTGCGATCCTGCGAACACTCTTTACCAGCGACAAAGCTTACTGGACAAAGAGCACTTACGCGGGAAGAAACTCGATGTGTATGATTTTACTTCGTGTTTGCCATCCATCCAAAACCTTGGGCCTCTTGGCACATGATCGAACTGTTGGACACCTTGCAAAAGTATATGGCGGTGTCGTTTTTTTCGGGGACCCCCCAGATTGCTGGCTTTGTTGCTGGTTTCCCTGTGAAAAGGCTACCCTCAAAACAGACCCATATACATCAACCATACAGCAATAGGTAACACAGGCAACCGCCGGAGACTTCACTTTGTTGCCTAGATGCCACACAGCTTCAAGGCAGCATGCCAAACATCACAGAGGTTGCGCATGTGCAAACAGGGTCAAACAGTTGCCACTTGGACTTATCGGAACATTGTGAATAAACCATAATTCCCTCAAGTTGGAAAGGGGACTGGTTTCGGTGGGCTCTGTGTTCCCTAGCTTCCGTTTGATCCGTTTGATACAGGGAAGGATCGTTTTCTTGACTTCCCTCCTCAATCCCGGCGAGGCGCCAGGATGCCAAACCTCCAGCCTGGACAGAAAACGCGGATTCGTTGGTCACGACGTCCAAATACTTTCGCGCCGGGAGATAGGCGAGCTGCTTCGCCATCTCCTTGGAAGCCATGTCCAGCCAGTCGGCGATGAAATGGACATCCGGCAGCATTTCGGGCTTCTCCACGGAATCTGCAGGGGGACCGGCTGGGGGACCCTGTGAACCGGAGCCACGAAGTGCGGCTACCTTCTGGGATTTCTCAGAAGCAACTGAGAAGCCAGGCTTTGCCTGAGCACTTGGTGGCTCTGGCGCTTCCCCGCATTTGCCCAGCGGCACCAAGATCAGGAGCAAGAAGCAGCGCATGGCTCGCACCTTTGGGCTCTTCGTATACCAAAGCCAAATGCTCGCACACAGACCGACAAATACCTGCAGCGCAAATCACCAGATCCAACAGACCTGCTGTCATTTTACCAGCAAACAGGAAGATGAGGCCTGGAATGGAAATAAACGCCAGCCAAAGAGTCAGGACACTACATTGCATACTCTTCTCAGGACAGGGTCAGGAACGCGTGTTAATATTTCACCCCTGAATTGGTTGCTTGACACACACTCAGACACACTCACACACCCCCACACACACACAGAGGCAAACCCGAATAGACAAGCCCACATCACGCTTCCGTCGTGTTGCACTAAGCGGATGATACTCAAACTGACTGCCAAATGCGATGGACCGGGGCCTGAAAAAGATACCATTGAAACACCACCAATACATTGCACTTGGGGAGGCTCGGATCGCCCAATCAGCCCACATTAACATAAGACAGCAATTTGTGGAGCCCATCCACAGCCGAAAAACTGCACTCGTCGCACCATCTCAAAAGCGAGGCTGCAGCCGCAGCCAGCAGAACCTGGAGCACAGACCAAAGGACTGGAACACAATCCAGACTGCCCGTAAAAACTGCAAGCATAGCGACAGGGGTCAGAGGTTGGTGCACGTAAACATGCTTCCGTTCATCTCGCGTGGGTTCAAACTCGTAGCTTTCGCCCAACCTTCGTCCAATCATGGACTATGCGCAGGCACGTCTCGCTAGTGCACTGAGTGGACACATGGGATGCCCAATAAAAGAATGCTCATGCTGGTGGTTTAGACCGCCCAGGGCCAGAGAGCGTCTCAACTTCTCTTAACGCCCACGCCTTGGAGAGCACCTTGACGCGCGCCATTTGTCCAAAGCCTGCGGCTAGAAGCGGGATTCAATGGGCGCCTCAACCACGAATTACTCAGAAACTGGTACCTGCAAAACAAAATATGCAAGGCGGCTGTCTCAGTACGGGCAGCACAAATGATGCACACCAACATAATGACTCAAGCAAGTACTCATCCAGCAAATACAAAGCCTTTGGTACGTGTAGGCTTTGAACCATCTCACACATCCTATGTTCCTTTGCAAGACACGCCCAGCATTAAAACCTTGGCTACTGCACAGTTGCACTCCGTTGCATGAATAAGGCTGGTTCAAAGTCTCTTAAAGATGGAAGCACCCGGCAGCACAGCTTTGGGGCACACAATCGCCATCCGGCCTGCAAAACTTGCAGAGGAAGGCAGCCCAATAGCACTCCCAAGCCGATTGAACCGATTCGGCAAGGGCGACGGCGCATCGAGATCCATTAGAAGCCTGCCCAAGATCTCCGTTCAAAGTTGGGGGGACCTACAAGAATGTCATTTCTGATTGGGCATGTCACAAATGAGGAATCAGCCCAACAGGATATGCTCTTCGTGGCGGCATCGTACTATAAACTACCAGAATCATGGTTCTGCATTGCCATCGACTGCATGTTATATCAAAGCAGATCCCAATATCTACGAAAGGACTCCGCGATGTTGATGACTGTCAGCAAGTTCAAGTTCTGCTCGATACAAAATGGGAATTCACTCGTTCAAATAGCAACATGTGGCTCAGACCAGTACAGCGTTCTCGTCAACAAAAGCGCTGGAAGCACGTGTGACTCCTGACTACGCAAGTCCTTTCCTTGACCAGGGTCGCAAAAGCTTTGCAATGGCTAATTGAAGATCGTGGCACTGGCTGCGCAAAATCATCTAGGCGATTGACGCCACGACAGCGCCAGGGCTTTCAAGGAACACCAGCCGAGTAGGGGTATAAACAAACACAACCAGATACAACCAGCAGACAAACTTCTTCGAAATGCACGACTCAAGGATTCAAGAGTCTGAGCACGGCATCCTTGCCAACCTCCCAGCCTGCATTCGGAGGAGGCGAGAAAAATCCTCCAGAAAGAAGCGATAAGCAAGAGACGGAATGATTTGGTGAGGAAGATGTTGAGGCAAAACTTAGGCTCCGCTAGAGTCCTGTGACGGTCACGCCATAGAGGACCATCCAGGATGTTCACATAGGATGATACCTGGTGAAAAGGCTCCTTGGAAAGCTGTAAGAAGGTGGACATGATGAATTTGGGCCGTATCCCTGGTTTCTGTGGGGAAAGAGCTAGCCAAATTCGTGATACGCCAACATACAACCATGTTGCTGACTCAGATCGGCGAACCGTCGCAGGCCACTGACGGGCGCTTACATGTAGCGCGCGCTGCGCTTTCGGCGGTACTGTACAGAAAAAGCGCTCAATCTGCGCCTGCACGCAATTGAGTCAAGGATTCTATGTATGTTCCATCGGAAAAACGTGGTTTCGTGCTTAAAGGCCATCCGTCGTGAATACACTGAAGCTGCATGAGCCTGAATTGCATACACACACACACATTTACACACACACACATGAATCTCTCCTCAAACCTGAGAACAGGCAAGAAGCATCAAGCTCCTGCACGTCTGGCTAAATCAACAATCGGCATGGGGCGCGCTAAACGCCAGATGCCGCAAGATATTGAGAAGATGTTTGTGTCTTCAAGATTGTTGCCCGTTACGTTTTGTACTAGGCAAAAGCTCCAATCTGTGGCTACACGTCAGCTGTGGGCTTGCTTCGTGCATACAGAATGATAAGGACACACATCTATGAGGAAATGGTCGGTCGGTCCACGGCTCATAGCTGAACATCATGTGCCAAATAGCAGAAGCTGACGCCTGTCCCCTTGCAAAGGAAATTGCAATGTGGGCATGGGTGAGTGAACCAACTCAGCAGCAGAAAGCAAGATGTCAGCATGGAGCAAAGAGCAACTTTATGACTTACGGATCAGGCATCTTGCAAAGCTCTGCAAGGCCAACTTGGGATCCTTCATCCAAGACTCAAACATTCGTCAATTCGTAGGGCTCCTGGGCCACAGCTTACATGAACGGCAGCCCCACTTGTCAAGGTTGCTGCGGAAGACGAAACTCCGCAATTCATTGCTCAAAAAGTGCACATGCCAAACATCCGTCTTCGAAACAAGCAACCCATTTTTGAAGTAAATTCTACCCATTCACCAAAACGCCTGCCTCTGAGCCTCGTGGAGCATCGAGGCCGAGTCAAAGCTAGACTGCCCAAAAAATCCGCGCCTTCCGAACCCAAAGGTGCCCTCACCAAAGGGTATCGATGTCAAAGCCCACTGTCCGGGAAAATCGCTTGATTGCCTCAGTGTGGCTCTTGGCAAAGGTCTAAGCCTCCTGATATGGTTTTCTGCTACGCACTTCACCAAGCGACCCCAGTAGATCTACCAGTTTGCTGTTTTTGAAGTCTATTTTGGAGATGGAATGCAGTTGTTTTATTTGGAATGCCCCATGCGACTTGACCAGCATCAGCCCACCTAAGCAAGGAATTCCTCTTCAAAATCACTTGGAAGAACAATTCCAGTTATGTGTTTTGCTTTTTTCTTGAAACGGAAATCTGAAACTACATTAGAACTATGTCCTTATTACATTGTATTGAACATATGCCAACAAATCAACCCGTTTGACATAAACATTTTGACTAGACATCTTGTTGGAACAAACGCAGTGCTAGAAAAATATATCCCTTTCAAATCATCTTGCAAATTTATTGTGAGACAAGAGTTCTGTTTGATTTATTGATTTGCTAATCCTAGTCGACAACTTTGAATTCCAAGCCAAAAAACAATAAACAACGCACACAACAGTGAGTTTATTTGAACAACAGACCTGTTTCCAACGAAAATCATTGAGCAAACATCTACGATAAATAAATCAGATTCCTATAAACATGAGTCAATAAACCCCAAACCCTACACCCTAAATCTGTCCACTCTAAGGTGAGGTTTGGATAGAAGATGCAAACACAGCAGCTGTGTTGGAGCCAATGGCCCAAAAGTGAAAACGTAAAGAAGTAAAACAGTAAAGACAAGAAGAACGAAAACAAGTAAACAGTTTAAACAAAGCAACATATTTCAGTCCATGGCCAGTGCATTTTATTTCAGGACCATGGGCTGATTTATTTAAGTGTTTACCTAAGCAAAACAACTTGCAATATAATAATAATAATAATAATAATAATAATAATAATAATAATAATAATAATAATAATAATAATAATAATAATGATGATAATCATAATAAATGATAAGAATAATAATAATAATACGTAATAATAATAAGTAATTATAAGAAATAAATGATAATAATAATAATAAAACAACATATATTAATAAGTAATAATAATAAGTAATAATAATAATAATACATAGAATAATAATAAGTAATAAGAATAATAATTTTACTTTTTGACTTTTGGGTCATTAGCTCCAGACATTTACTGTTACTTCTTTACTTGACATTCACTTTTTGTACTTTCGGGTCATTGTCTCCATAACTTTACTCTGTTACGTTTGGGTCGTTGGCTCCATAATTTCACTTCTTTACGTTGTCACTTTGGGGTCAATGGCTCCAACATAGCTGTTGCTTTGCATCTTCTTACCAAACCTCAGCTCAGAAATAGGACACGGGAATATCCAAACCGACTGGATTCAAGATTCCCTGGAACAGTTTGGCCTAAAGCGTTCAGATTGTCTTTGGAAATGCGCCTTTTTCTGCTGCTTTCCCCAAAGCCCTCAAAAAGGCAAACACTGCTCTGCTGAAGGAAGGTAGATCCATTGGGGGGGACCATATATATAATAATATATATATATACATATGAATATATACACACATGGTTCACCAAATAAATTGTATAACATATATATATATATATTATGTATACATTTATCAATGTAGAATAGATTAGACAACCTATGTCACCCCTCCCACCAGGGCCAAATTTACTGCTTGCCAATCACACCATGCGTAAAAAGGGAACTCTCCTTGGCGCGCCTGATTGAAAGCAAAGTTGCTCAAGCACGCTTTGCCAACATATAGCCTGGACTTGCTTTGCGCATTGAAATGAACACACACACACACACACTCACACACACACAGAGGCTGCCAAGTTGTCCAATTGTGGGTTGGGATCAATGTTTCGCCTTCAGACAGGAAACTTGGCCAACGGTTGATCTTCAAAAACTGGACAATCAACGGCGAGATGGAGCGTCCGCTGCGGCTTATCATGCTGAAACGTATACTGGAAGTAGGCAGTGTTGGTGCCCTGAACTGGAATTGGGCGCTTTCGAACATCAAACCAGCCGTGAAATTCCTTTTGCTGGGCAGCGTGTGGCAACAGTAGGCAGTGTCTTGCGCCACCATGACCCTAGCTGCTTAAAGTTTCATCCTCCAGCAGTTGCAGTCGGTTCATTTTATAATTCTGAGCAGAGAGACGATGCAGCAGTTGCAGTCGGCTCATGTTACAATCCTGATAAGAGAGGCGACGTCCGGGACGCAGCCACTGGAGGGATGAAACACCCCCGATTCCGAGTTCAGCCCGATCTGAGCTTCCCACCGGCCAGTAATATCTTCCCAGGACCCACATCCTTGCGAAGCGCACTCGAAAGGCAGGGGCCGTTAACACCAATGTCATCTCAAAGCTCCAGCTGGATTCTAGTTCATGTCCACAAGTTCTGAGCTTGTCAAGAAGCAAGCCAGAATCCAACTAAGCAAAGTCCAACACTCTTCTGCCGAACAACTGTTTACTTGGAAGGGCCAGGGACACCTGCATCCCCAGGAAGGAACTCAGTTCTATCGTGTGCAGTTGGGATATCCAAAGCATCTCGAAAGACAGCTGAACGGCAAATCAAGCATTGAGAAGGGAGTGATTTGCCGATCACTCAGGCCCTGGCGCGAAAAGGCTGCAAATCGCGACCCGTAGGCCTTGCTTTGGATACTCATCTTTCAAAACAAGTGAATCCTTGCATGAGGCGATGCGCAGGTCCGTGTGTTTCTTTTGCTTGCAGTTTCCTTCGGCTTTTCTTTGGTGCGTTGGATCTTTGCCTGGGTGACGGGAAGCTTCGCTTTGTCCACCAACTCCGAACACATCAGTGTGCAGCCAGGTGGCAGTGATCGAGAATCAGCACGAACTCGCGCAGCATCTCCCTGGCAAAAAACAAACATTGCTCTGCAAGGCATGGTGGATCTCCCTGAGCCTGCTTCGACGAACAGCAAGCAAAAGGCAAAACTTAATATCTCAAACACGTTCATAGTGGAGGCCAAGTAGCAACCACGTGCAACACCGTCACGAGTTGTCCGGGCTGCTTTGCAACTGCGCACGAGCCATGGGGCGATGCAAAGTCGGCTATCCCGTCTACTCCAAAACCACACAGTATGCAGTGATAGCACCCCGCACGTGCATAAAGGCTACCACCCCACCTGCATGCTGACTCCGCAATCGAAATTTGCTGGAATCCATCTATTGCAATGCGGGTGATGCACGTGGCACAAGGAGATGGATGGAAGGGTTGCAACCGTCACAAGCCTTGTGCCAAAAACCATGCCATGAGATCCCTGGTATTCAGAACCCTCGCCCTTCCACCCCAGCCAATCCTATTCTTCTGATTCATCTTGATGCATTGTTCGTACCTGGCCGACTCCAAGATTCCTGGAAACATGTCCACGGGTCAAGGTCTCCAAATTGTTGCCCGTCGGGCTGGAGGCATCGTCGTGCAGTCAAAGACAGTGCGTTCCAGATCGTGATATGAGTCTACATTATTCCTGTCTATTCAAGAAGTACACCAACAACGTTTGCACAGTAGATGCGCAAAACACACACGTTGACTGTGCTGGTGTTGGCCACACATCCGTGCGGCAATGCGGAAACGGCTCCTAAAAACAGTCTGTGGCCGGTTCGCTGGGGCGTCTAACTGAACTCACGAAAAGCGGCCACGTTTCCAAGTCAAGGGCAAGGTTCCGGTAATTTGTGTCTGTTTGCTCTCTTCGAAAGTTTCTTTGTCAGTTCCAGGATCTAGAAGTGAGATCATGTTTCTCGCATGGATGGGCTTCCCTTCTTGATGCACAGCCGGCCATGAGCCGCGCAAACAAATAGAAGGCTCAAAGGGGCTCAAAACATGTCCTTCACCTTCGACTTCATCTTCAGGTGTGCGTGGCCGCTGCAGAGCAAAGTCCAAGAGATGCCAAGTGGCGTGCAATACATGGCTGAGCCTGAACGACCGGCTGTTGCTATGGGCTCCTCTTGCAGCCTTGCCCCCGACTTCTAGCATAAACAGGTTCCCACCGGCCTGAAGGCAGAGAACATTTGTTGGATTGAATGAGTGTAGCCACAAAAAGCACTTGCCACCTGAACCTCAACTTTGGGCGCCGCATCAGAACCTTTGGCCAACAGAATTTCCATCAGGACACTGGCCAAGGAGGTCCTGCGCAGCATCACTCCAGGTCATCCGAACTGGCACGGACTGTTCGGTGCCACGCAAACATGCTGGATTCTAGCTAGTTCACCAAAATAGGGGGGCCTCAAAATGTGCAGTTCTCTTTTTGGTGTCCCATTTCCTTTAAAACCAACCAAACGAGGTCCCCCAAAAAAGACACCCTCTTTGATTTCCAGAGAGGAAGATGGCGCCATGAGGCTACCTCAATAAGGACGCATGAACATCAGCAGCACCTGAAGATTCAAACGCTCCAATTCCATGACAGTTTTCAAATCAACACGTAGAAGTCCACGTTGCAATGCCATATATTGCGCAACAACTTGAAGACCACGTCATGTCCGCTCAAGCAGCTATTGCTCGAACATCGTGAAACCGGCATAATTTCCAGCTGCCAGGAAATCTAAGTTAAGGTTTACAAGCAAAACCACAAGGCAGAAGCCTGAGAGAATGAATCTAACCAGCTGTGCATATGCAAAGTAGTGGAGCACATCGCAAGAAGGCCGGTTGTGAAGTCTGTCCAAACATAATAAACAGTGCACCGTTTCTTTTGTCCATCAATATTGATTCGCCACCCAATGAGATTATCATTGTCTTGAAACCTGTTCAAGCCTACAAAGACATCTTGGCAAAATGCCGCCCAACCATTTCAGCCGTGTCCTAAACATGTCCTATGCTGTGTCGCATCTGCTTGCTTGCCCCCCGTTTACGCAAACCTTATATGCGACGCACGGATGGCTTAAACGACAAAAAACACATTTACCGCAACGAGGAATTGAGTCGCCCGGAGTGAACAGTGTCGCTGAAAGCGACAGGTTCAAGCTCCTGACAAGACCTGGCTCCAAACAAAGCTTTCAACACATGCGGAGGACTTCGGCTTGCTTGTGCGACTAAACACAGTGCTTGTCTGGATTGCCGGCCTTGCATATGTCTGCATGCATGTAGCAGGCCCTGATGATTAATGTTAACTTGAGATGGACCGGAGAACCAGACTAGTCCCAAGAAGAGGAGCCAACCCTGATTATTAGGGTCTCCATTGCTCCAGAGGTCCAAAACTCAATCATGCTACGATGTAGGAGAAACGCATATACACTAATTAGAGTGGAATATTCCCGCCGCAGAATTATCATGCCGCCTTCATCCTGCTCGAGGCTCAACCCACGATACCTTCCCTTGGTCTACCTGACGAGTCTGACATGCCCTGCAAGGCCCTCAACTCAGCCACTTCCCAGTCCAACTGGCGACCGGAACATTGCTGGCCTGGATGCTCCTCGAGGAACTTGCCTTGAAACCCGGCACAACAAGTTGGAAAGTCTACAGCCAAAAAGCAGTGCCTTCTGCTTCCTTGTACTGGTGTGGCACGGTCTTTGTCCATCAGACAGTGTTAGGCTCATGATGCGCCCGACCATGCTGCGTTGGCCACAGCCCGCAATGAGCTGCCTGAAGCTGTAGCACTCACACGAGTTTTGTTCTCTGGCTACGTGAATAGTTCAAGCACCGGGTTTGCAAAAATCTGAGTTCGACAAGCTTTGGGTGTTTGCCAATGGGTGTCCATTGCTTGGGGCGCGCGTTAAAGTGGGAGGCCCGAGAAAGAAAAGGCTTTATTGGGGCGCTCTCAATGATTCCCGAGGATCTTCTGCGCAACCTACCCTCCCACCAACTAACGCGGAACCTGACAGGAGCGTCCCCTTGAAAGGAGAATGGTCCAAACCAGGACCCCCTGAACGTCAGGTTCCACGTTAATTGGTGGGAGGGCACATCATAATCAGAGGTGTCATTTTTGGAAATAGATGGCCCTGGTGTATGATTGAACCGCCAGCTAAACCGGGCCCTCTGTGGTTCAACCAGACCAACCAAAACGGACACCGAGCTTCACAGCCGCTCAGCTTCCTGTCGCGAGGCTCGCGCGGCCCGACTTCTGCGCCGCGGCGATGGAGGCCGCCAGCTCGTCGGTGGACTCGATGTTGTAGTGCCACTCCTGGCGAGCGCTGCATTTGATGGGCCCGCGGTGACGTCCAAATGGAGGGCTGCTCTTTTTGGTACCAAAGGCCCAAACAAAGCGGCACTCGAAAGCCATATTTTGAGCTACCAAGATGCAAACACGAGGCTCCCCAGTTTGATCTACATTCCCTTGTCCATTGGAGGCGAGGCAAAAGATAAAGTGGCCATTCCTTTGCAGCCCAGCCATACCAAGCCTCCGCTGGATCTCTGCCTAATTTGGAAGGGGGCTGACAGACTGCACGCCTCTTGGGACTTCATCTCTTTCAGCTGGGATTTTTTGGATATTAGCTTGTCTGAGCTGTGCATGGCAAACAGGCAAACTGTACCACCTGGATCCGGAAACGGAGTAGGCTGAACTGTCGCTGACGCTTCCTTGCTTTGCCTCAAAGTCCTCTCATTTCTCTGGCTAACCTGTCCAATTCAATTGTGCACTGCGGGCTTCATTCAGCACCGCAAGACTTTTTTAGCGCAGTGTGCAGAGTTAGTACATTGAAGGCAGGCACAGGCAGGCCACTGTGCTTCATGAAATTTCCTCCACGGTCGTCATCACTGGGTTGGATATGACATACTGCAAGGGTCCTGTCCACAGACGACAACATGTGTTCCGTCCATAAGGAAACAAAGAAAGGAAGGACGCTGGGAGGAAGGAGTTTAGGATGGAAGGAAGGCCACACTTTTGGCATGGGAGAAGAGTGGTTAAGGCAGAACAGCGCAGCCTTTTCAGCTAAAATCCAAGTTGAAGCGTAGGAGGGTGCCTGGCAACCGCTCATGTCCACTCCTCGAACACCTATGTCGCGAGTGGTCAATTGCCTCTGCAAGCGCAATACACATTCATAATATCACATTGACACCTGTAACATCCTTTGCATGCAAAAAGCGTTAAATGTTTGGCAACATCCTGCGAGCAATCACAGTCTTGCCTGCTTTGTGGCAAGGCAAGTGCTGTGAACATGCCAGCACGCCACTGCAAAGCAACCCCCCCACCTTGGGCGTCTTGTCTGTCCAGATCTCATCGAAGACAGAGCAAAAGGGCATCACCGCAGGGCAGCCACACATCATCGCCTGCACATCGTCAAGCCAAGCAACATCTGGAAATGGGCCTGTTCAACCTGTCATATTTTGTTGGTTGTTGTTCCTAGATGTGGATAAGATTGGCCAAAAGCGCAATTTGGTGTAGATGTAATTAAGATGGATCTAGGGCTTAGGGTTGCATGTTGACTATCCAAGTTCTCCTCATACGTTTCTTGGTGCAAGTCATCCGCTGTGCAAGTTCTCTAGTAGAATTGTTCCTGCGAGCTAGTGCAAAGAAAGCCGGAGGAAGAACCCTTGGTGACGCCTTTGGGGAAAGCTAACTTTGAGCATCTGCCTGGTAGCAATCGCTCGATGGAGTAAGGGTCAAGCATCGAACAACACCAAATGCGGGGGCAGCAAGTGAAGTAACTCTGTGGAACGTGTTGAGAGTTGCTGGTATGTGTACCCTGTAGACTTATGTGCTTCATCCTGACATTGGTTGAATCTGCCCAATGTCCGCAATGTCCATTCCCGCAACGTCCACAATGTCCACATTGTCTGTTCGCGCATCAGCAAGTTTAAACAACAACCGGCCTCCCTCCAACCTTTCTAGGACGCAAACAGCCTCCCTCCCGTTCTTGCGCACGCTACGAATAGCTTGGACACAATTATACAATGCTCAGGAGGCTCGCCCAACTTAATTACCAAATCAGCCCAACTGGACTCGTTATCCCAAGGCATGCATTCACGCATACACGCACGCACGCACACGCCGCCCACGCAAACACGATCGCGGATAAGCCACCCTCGTCATTTAACCGGCCTGGTCGCATGACATCGGAGCATCATAGAAACTAGCAATCCTTGAGGGATGTCACTATGCGCCTTTCGGGACCGGTTATCTTATCATACTTCACTCATCTATGCTGTCCACAGTGTGACCCGAAATCGTTGCTGGCAGACTGACCTGCAATCGCTGCAATGCTACGGCTCTATGCTCCCATCGGCTCGCATGGAAGCTTCCAACCAATGAACATGTCGGGAACAGGTTTTAGTCCCTTTGAACGGACATGGGCAGCTCCAAAACCGCATGGGCGAAACTCCAAGCCCCTCGCCCGAGGCCTCCAGGCAGGTAAGGCCGAAGGTCTCCGAGAGGCTCATGGTCACAAACAAATCTGCCGAGCGATAGAGCTGCGGCAGCTCCTGCGATGTGCCCGAATTTCTCCGGCGCGCTCAAGGAAACTATGCTGTGTCGAAACGCAGCTTGGGGAAAATGCGAGCAAAGACCTGAACCAGACAAGCGTCTCTTGACTAGGCAAACTCATGTTTGCCATCAACGGGCTGCCATCAATCACAGCATCTTAGAAGGTGCAGCAGCTTAGAGCCATAGTATCTCGACTTGGTGAGAAGATGTTGTGACAACACTGTCAACAAATACTTGCAACAGCCGCAACAGCTGAGCACCTCCTTCTCTGTGCTGAACGGTGGGCTGCAATGCCATAACACATGCACTTGTGTGTGTGTCTTGCAGTCATAGTGGGCATGAAAAGCCTGAAAGCCGGTGCCTCCGTGGGGCAAAAGGCTCGTTGCAAATGTTATGCTGAGCTCTTGGGTCAGCAACGCGCTGAACAACTGTCCACATTGGGCTTTTCAAAACTATTTTCAGTGAAGTGTCTTGTAGCCGAGTAACCTTGGAGTTGTAATTCATTTGCGTTTAACGTTGGTGTGGTTTCAGCCTGGCTTTCCGGCTTCGTTGGGGTCAAGGCTGGACAAAGGGTTGGATTTGGAGGGAGGTTTAGGACTGGCCAATAGGTTTGCGCGTTTGAGGTGGGCATGTTCTAGTTTAGGGTGGGTTCTTAGGGTGAGATTGGCTTGGGGCTGGATCAGTAGTCCTGCGGGTTGGCTTTGGATTGCTTCAGGGTTTGGAGTGAGGCTACACCAACGCTCGAAAGCGCAGAGGGCACTGAATGCAAACAACGGGTCCAAAGTACCCCCCCCAAAATGACACCCGTTCATGTATGCTGCGCATGCCAAAGCGCCTACGCTCCTCCAAAGATGAAAGTGCAAACAGGGCCAAGTGCAAGTCACGTCAGTCTTCCAAGGTCTTCCAACTTGCCCTTTCAGTTCTCATGATTGTTGGAAGAAGGGTGTTGCTAGAGGGACTAGACATGCTGCCATGAAAGTCGCGTTTGTGGCGTTCAACAAAGCTCCTATCTCTGTCTGTCTGTCTCTGTCTATCTATCTGTCTGTCTTGGGGTGGGCGAGTGGGCGGGCGGGCGGCTGGGTGGGTGGTGGGTGGATGTGCTGCTCTGTGCGTGCGTGTGTTTGCCAAATCTCTAGTGAGGGGGGCAACCTCAGCTGGCTGCCCAACGAGAGGGCTGCGCTTAGCTGGAGGGAAGGCTATTTGGATGTGACTTGGCCTGCGCTCGAATGGACAAGTGTGTACCCCCCACTTGGGGAACCCGTAAGTGTACCCTGCATTGAGTGACCCCGGGCCGGCTTTGCCGTGACCTGCGTGACAGACGTTTGCAAGAGAAGGTGTGATACCTTCTCACTCGAATGTCTGACTTCTGTTTGTTAAAGATTGCCTCTTGTCTCACGGTTTGGTTGGTTGCGTTGTTCGTCTTCGTCGTTGCTCTGTTGTCCGTCTTCCTGCTCTTGGCCCTGTTGCGGGATGGCTGCGCCATTCTCGCTCTCTTTTTCTTGACTTTCGTCGGCTTATTGTTCCCCCTGTTGGCCCCATGGCGGGATGGCTACTTCCTCTTCCCGGTCTGCTTCCTTCTCTTCTCTGTAGTCTTCGCTTCTTCCTGGGCTTCTTCCTCCGCCACGTACGCACACTCGCACGAACGCACGCACGCACGCACGCATGCACGCACCCACCCACCCGCCCACCCACCCTCACACACACACACACCCACTCCCGAAGGTGCGGAGGACGGAGCCCCAACAGAAAAGAAACAAACCAAAAAGCAACCAAAACAAAGCAAAAGCGGCCGAGTTGAGTCTCCGCAGGCAAAGCCCCCAATCAAGAAACAAGAATAAAAAAAACGGGGACCACGGTTTAGAGTCTCCGAAAGCAACAACCCTAAACAAAACCCTCCTAACCTCGGTTTGGGTCCCCTCTCTATTGCTCGCATTGCCCCTGTTCAAGCAACTAGAGGGAAGCGTTTAGATGTGACTTGGTCTGCACTCGAATGGAAAAACCTCGGGGTGGGGTGGTGGGGTGGGGTGGGGTGCCCTGTCAACAAATTCAACGGCACTGAACGCGAAACCACAGCATAGTGCGACACCTGCCTGGTGAGGCACGTTGCCCAAGAAGACCTTGCAACGCTACGCGGCAAAGAGCTGCAAACTTCATCTATCAGAAAAAATGATTGCAATGAACTCCAACCATTGCCCAGGAAAACTTGAGAGGTGACGCGCACACACACACAGACATATCCCAGGCGGCGAGATAAACGCAGAGCGCACCGAGTTGAGCTTCCGGAGACTGCGCAAGTGTTCCCACTACAGGCAGGCGCTTGAGCGCTGGACAACGAGCCAGTTGCATAACTTGAACCATATTTGACACATCCACACCAAATCATGGTGAAGATGAAGTGGTTCAAAAGGCACACAAAGTGCACGGCCGCCTTGATCAAGGTGGTAGTCAGTACTGCTAAGAGTTCACCATGAGTTCACCAACAGGAAGCATAGAAGCCCCTTAACAGAACTCCATAATCCATGTCCCAACTCTGTTGGGATCAAGTCCTTTGACACTTGCTGATGGGCAACGTCAAAGGGCAGGGAGCTCCCATCTCAGCACATGTAATGTTTGATCAGCAAAAGTGGGGATTGACATCCTTCCACAATCGCAAGCAACCTGTGGAAAAGGAAACAAGCTATTCCTCATCTTTGCATGTTCGCTCATTCCCTCTGCAATCGGAACCACGGCAATATGCCCGATGATGACTCTGTTTGGGTATAACTTCAAATCTGCACAGGTCATGCAATGCTCAAGTTAAGATTTGCAATTCAGGTAAGCCTGGCAATGCAAAACACTATAGGCATTCAGGGCCCCTGCACTTTGGTACTGACATGGGGCTTGAATAGCAGCACCAGCCAACCGCAGGACAAAAGCCACATACGAAGAAACCATGGCAGGCTGCGGTATGGATCCTGTGTTTTGGGCTCAATGTGCCGATGTGCCGGCCTCTGACTCAGAGGAAAGAAGCATATGCGCGCGCAGCCTATACATGACCACTGTGCGTGCAATGGTCGAATCAAAAGCAGCGGTGTCCTGCTGTATGAAGCCACGGATCACCTCATGCAAACTTAGTTTGCGGCTGCATTTCGCTTTAACCTGAAGCCGAAGTGGCACACTTTTTGACAGCCATAAACCACCCTCGCCAGGTGGAGTCAGTGCAAAGGCGCTCACAAACAAAATTTGCCCGGGCAGCCTGTGCAGCCAAGCTCATCATTGCAGTAGGAGTCCAGGTTCGAGTTAATTGCGAAGCAAGAAGCCAGGCTCACGCAGAAGTACAAGTCCAAGGAGCCAGGATAATCAAGGTTCCAGGAGTCCCGGTCAGAGCAGCCAGACGGACAAATATGTCTTTGACCAGACCCAAAATAGGCCATCGAGGGAAATGCAACAAAACAACAACAAATATTGGGAAAGGGTGTCCTCGCCGTGCTACAGCTACGCACACAGGAAGACAAACAGTTGTGTTGAACAGTATAATGATATAGCCATCACCTGAGCGCTTGCACCCCAAGCCCCCACAAACATGGTGACCAACAATAACAGTTTAACAAATTGGACAGATCACTGTCGGACATGAAGTAAATGCGACCTCGAAGGACGCAGTCACCTTGGATTCAGCACCAGGGGACTGCAGAAGTGTGTGTGTGTGTGTGTGTGCTGGAATTCTTGCTTCCCTGCGCTAAATGTTGGCCGCGTAGAGCGCAACTTACAAACATGACCAACAATTCATGTCACGCGCCAAACACGGGGGCAATGACCTGTGCATGCACCTGCTCAAACGAGAGGGTGGGAGCCCGGCTTGACCCAATTGACTGTCACCGGAAAACCCGAAGTTTGGTATGCGCATCAAGCAGCCAACCTTTTGGACATGCATTATCGGGCCCGAGCGACGCGAAGACGAGCTGAGGCTTTGGAACTGTATTGACACTTCTCCAGCCTTGAAAGAGCACACAAAAGTGCGCAGCTGCCTTGATCAAAGTGGGAGACAGTACTGCAAGAGTTCACCAACATTAAATCTACACCCCCCCCAACAGAATCGTGCTCGTGGGTCAGGTGAGTTTGCAGACTAGCTTGACTGGCACAAGGGTGGACAAGCATCTTTCCCAAACATGTTGAAGCCAGTCCCACTTCCCTAAAATTGGTAAGGCTTCAGTAGAGTTGGACGCGATTCTGGGGCCATGGACCACTCTGAGCCGCAACCGCGTCGCTTCTTTGACCAGGAAGTCCTGAGAGTGGGAGCTCGGCCAGTTTGGTCCCTCAATTTAGGGGTCCTTTCAGGGGTTCATGTCAGTGGGAGAATGCTTAAACCGCTGTTTGTGCGGTGGGTAAAGGAAGCAATCCGTGCAACCCGATGCCAGTCCCTATGCTAGATACATGCAAACACCCAGCTGGGGGAAAAGGAAACCGTGGAAGGTGCACAGTGGGTACAGCGAGAATGGGAGGCAGGCGCAAGAAAGGCGGAGGGAGAGGGAAAGCAGCAGCAGAAAAAGGAAAGAACCCACTACAATCCCTTCCCCCATTGATAGATCCACCACTATTAATCAAAGGAAGTTTAGTAAGAAAACTTCCGTAATACATAAAGTTGAATCACAAGATCCGGACAAACTCAGACGGTCTCGCCACGGTCTCGCCACGGTTTCGGAATGTTGCCCACTGTAATGCTTGCGCAGACGTGTTCGCAGGTCTATTTTGCGTGGCAGGCGCAGCACTTTGGCAACCTGAGGTGCAGATTTCGTGGCAGGCGCAGCATTTTGTGCCCGTGCAATTTCAAGTGCAGATTTCGTGGCAGGCGCAGCATTTTCGCAAGGTCGAGTACAGATTTCGTGGCAGGCGCAGGACTGTCGCAAGGTCAAGTGATAGGTAGACGGATAGATCAGCAAGGTCGAGTACAGATTTCGTGGCAGGCGCAGCACTTTCGCAAGGTCAAGTACAAAAACATGTGGCAGGCGCAGCACTTTCGCAAGGTCAAGTATAGATTTCGTGGCAGGCGCAGCACTTTCGCAAGGTCAGGTGCAGATAGATAGATAGATAGATAGATAGATAGATAGATAGATAGATAGATTAGATTTAGATTAGATTAGATTAGATTAGATTAGATTAGATAGATAGATAGATAGATAGATAGATAGATAGATCAAATGGAAAGAGAAAGAGAAAGACAGAGATATTTAGAAAGAAAGAAAGAAAGAAAGACAGAAAGAAAGAAAGAAAGAAAAAGAAAGAGACAAAGAAAGAGCGCAACCCAAAAAAAACAAGCCAAGCTCTTCCTATAGGCACTCTTCTCGCTTTAGAAACTTCCGTCCACCGGCTTCGCCGGCTCTACTGGTACAAGTGTTTTGTCAGGCCAAAATACAACAAACAAAATATAACCTTTTACTTTAAGCCAGCAGTACTAAATCTGGACCAAACTCGTGACAGCCCTAATTAGGGGGTACTTCCGGCACTTCCCTTCAATTGCAAAATCAAGTCTCTACATATCGCAATTTGATTTTGCCATTTGAACTTGAATTGACAAAGCCAAACAATGCCTTGAGCGATTTCACACAAAATTATTACTCGGCAAATTGCATCAAACTGCGGTTTTGACAGATTTTGCGCCCGACAAAAGGACCCCATTTGGACGAGGACTGCAGTGGAAGCCTCCTAAATATGTTTTTGCGGAAGTAATCTTATTAATGGGGAGGATTTATACCAAGGAGAAACGACTATAAATCATCTGAACAAGACAAATCAGAGCAAACAGGACCGTAAAAAAGGCAACCACACTCAAATCCAAAGTCAGAAACAGGGCAACCAAGTCAGCTTCCCTCTACTTCATGGTTTGCAGATTGGAGGTTAACAGTTCGGGTGTTTCCCGTTTCTCAAGAATGAGAAAACCAAACCAGGGTTCCATTTTTCGACCCCGCTCATTCCCCCCCCAAATCAGAACCCCTGGGTTTCTTGGGGTCAAGTGGAACCCTGATCCAAACCACAGAGCAACCCCAACTAGGACGTTGGAAGGGGAGCAAAAAAGAAAATTATGGCACTTAAAGACTTAAGTGGCCATTTCCCACTAAACAAAAAAAACAATAAGCAAAAATGTAAAAAATGTCTCCCAACCATGCCACAACCACGGAACGGATCAACGGGTCGAGGTCTTTTTGGGCCCTGGCCATGGCGGGGCCATCCCCGGCGATGGCCAGCACGCCCTTCAGACCCTGGCCACCCTCCTGACGCACCCGAAAAAAAGGAAACAGGTCGACCTTGAAATGGCGGGATCAATGTTTTGTGGGCAATCATGGGGTAGTTTTTCCCATTTTGTGGGAAACATCTTTTGAGTTCCCTCTGATAGGTGGTTGTTAAGGGGTTTCCCATTCACCATCTACAAGAGCCAGGGGTTCAAATTCCAAGCCACCAACTAGGGGTTGCCTCATAGATCAGATCCATACTCTTGGAAAATAAAGAAAAGACGACTCGCCAAAACCACATGGAAGAACAATTTCTCCGAAATTCGAGCAGGCAGTTAGATTGAGCATCTAACCGGTGTGTGTGTGTGTGTACGCGAAATCGAGGGGAACTGGAAACAAACAAGCTTGGCATTTCAGAATCCTTGCTCCGTAACTACACAAGGAACAGTTTGTGAACTGCTGGGAATAAGTTTCCTAACGCTCTGTCTGCAAGTATATGCAAAACGGCTTTTGTAGCCCCCATATTATTGATAGCTGTCAAGGAGAAAACGCACTTTTCCAAATCAAAAATACACGATATAATTGGGCTTGTTGTAGGAGGGGTACTACAAAAGGGCGAACCGGCAAATGCGAAGAAGGCACAATGGTCCTGCAAACTGCTTTTGAGATCAGATCTAAGAAAGGCCGGAATGTGCCGACACAAACATACAGTGATGCCTTGCCTGCCTTCTTTCTGCTTCTTCCTCTTCTTCCTTTGCTTCTTCCTCTTGCTCGTTTGCTTTCTTCTCTCTGCCTTCTTCCTTCTTGTTCTTTGCTCCTTCCTTCTCTTCTTCTTTTGCTCCTTTCCTGCCTTGTTTCTTGCTTCTTTCTTTCTCCTTCTTGCTTCTTGCTTGTTCTTCTCACTTCTTTCTAAAACAGTGCCTGGGATCACTCCTATTCCCGAACAAAATCAGCAAAGTGGAGATGTGCCTGTGTGCTGCGAATGGGGGATACACCAAATGGGAAGCGCATGGATACGCTAAAAGAATGGGAACTTCACACTGTCGGCCACCGGCTAGCTGTGAGCAAAGGGACCTGATCTCTAGGAACGACTCATCCAGTGGCAGTGAAGGTGTAAGCAACAAACATCGTGATTCACATGTGGACGGCAAGTCTTTTTCTTGGGCCATCCCTTGATTCAACAACATATGCGAAAACCGGGGAGCAACTTGTAAAGTGGGTCATGAACGTCCTCCTTCGGCAGGAAGGCCTTGAAGACGCGCTCAGTGCCCTGAGCCGATCTGAGGGTCTGAGGGGAATCTTGCCACTGCCAAAAGGTCACTTCGTGAGACTCTTAAACGAGCCTGTTCAGAAGGGTTGAAGCGGATCAACTGAACAATTCCTGAGACCCTGACTCAGCAGACTGAAAATGCAAACGGCTGCACGTCAGCAACCATAGCGGCAAAGACTCTCCCAGAAAGGCAGAAATCAGGCTGAGCAAGCATGGATTTGTCAACCTGCTGATTTCAATTGTTTCGAAAATGATCATCGATCCACCAGGTATGCTCCAGCTAAGCTGGATGGCGGAAGTTTCTGACGGGGACGTACGCCAATCGAGGAGGAGTGTTTCGACTAACGAAGCGGAGAAAAAAAAAAGCAACCCGCAAAGTTACGATTTCCGAGCCAGAGGATTCAAAGCACACTTTGCTCTAAAACCAGCAGCCCTTCCACAACTTCGTTCCTTCGAGTGTCCGCCTGGCACGAAATCACGAAATCTGCACTTGACCTTGCGCAAGTGCTGCGCCTGCCACGAAATCTGTATTTGACCTGGCCACAGTGTCGCGCATGCCATGAAATCTGCGCCTCAGGTGCGAAAATCATGCGCATGCCGCGGAATCCGGACGCAGCAGTTCGCGCGTCCACTCCAATGCGATTCGCAATCGTGCGACTTACCTTCCCAAAGCGCACCAGTCACGAATTCTGATGCCCGTGGGAACAAAATGCTGCGCCTGCCACGCAACTTTCCAGACCGGGGCGAGCCCGCGGCGAGCCCGCGGCCAGACGGCCGCGAACCCGTGCGCTGAACAGAGGTAGCCTTCGCAATCTCGCCAAACGCAACATGCTGCGTCTACCACACAATTCCTTCCTTTTTTATCTCCGTCTTTGTATTTCTTGCTTACTTTATTTCTTTCTTTGCACGACTGTGCTGTTTGCAACTTTTCGCATTACAGAAGTGTTCTTACGAATTTTCCCTTGACAATTGGCGGCACCCAAAGTCAATTGCGATCGACGGCAGGAACTGTCCAGGAGCCAGAGAGTGGCTGACAGACACATCATCAAACCGAGAGAGTGGCTGACAGACACATCATTAAACCGATCCTGCATCAAGCCAGACGAAACAAATCAAAATGTAATCCAAAACATAAAACACCCAACAATCAAAGCCTAGCTCGGCAAAAGGCAAACCCAGCCTTCTCGTGCGATAGGCGCTGGACCATAAGCATGACCTCCGATTCGATGCGTCCGGAGCAGCCAACCACTTGGTGTGGTCATTCGACCAACTGGTTTGGGAGGGATCCTTTCCAGACTGCATCTAATATAGAGTCTCTTTTCATGTGGCAGCCTATTCCTCCTCTTTTTTTTTGTGTAGGACAAAGCTATCACCAGTATGAATTGCCCAAATAAAGTCATACCCTTGGTTCCCTTCATGTAGATGCGAGATCCTTGTGAGCCACAAACTGCTCCCAATGGCAGTATTGAAGGACTCAAGCAAGTTGGCAAAATTGGTGTACAAGTCCTCCTCAGTGCGCCGGTGTCAGCTCAGAACTGGGCTGCATGTTGCTTCCGGCGCAGGCTTTGACAAAACCGTTCATAGACTGGGCCACAGCATCTTGCTTGCACTTGCATGGAGCAAAGTTCGAGCTGTATCAGTTGTCTCATGTTTGCCAAGATCCAAACTCCTACACAGGAAAATGCCCGTGACTCCCCAAATGAGAGCGAGAGTCCTCATTTCCTACGTGTCAACATCTTGATTGAAATATTGATGTCCGTACGCAATCACCGCTCTTCCTCAGGTGTTTCGATGGCACGCTCAAGTAGGCAAACATTAGCAGCGACACGCGCAACCTTCAGCGCTCTGTCACCCTGCCGAGTTGAAGGTGAACAATGTGGCACGTGACAGCTCGACTTTATTCAACATATTAAAGTATTATCCCGGCCTATCCATTGACAATTTTGACGATGTATCATTCAACCAGTTGCCAGTAAGATGGTTGTTGCTCGTGTGGCCTTGTCATCCTCGCTGTCCACCCCAAACTTGGAGAGGCGTGTATCTCTTCTCTCCTGAGCAGCGCAGGATGTCTACCTAGATTTGTCCAAGTCTCTGTGCAACGCATCGGCGACTTCCCACTTCACCATGGCTTCTCTGAAGATCTCAATACTTCCCGTAATTCTCACCGCCTATAATAATGAAGGTCCTAATATATTGTTTTTATAAAGATCTCAGCGCCCCAAACTCTACAAGTGTAATTAGTGTGGGCCAACTCCAAACCAATACTTCACCAGCAACTTCTCCAACCGATCTCTCCTCCAGTCGTATTATTAGGGGACCCTCTGCCCCAGGCATCAAGCACTTTGGAAACAGCTTTCTGGAACATGTTCGTTTGCTCACGCCCGAACATACATAGCAGAAGTGAAAAACAAAAAACGGGAGTTGGCAACCCCCAATCTGGAACAGGGCGCCGCAACTCAGAATATATGCTTCTCCCTAGGGCATGTTGCAGGCGGGGCTCCTTTTGTTGTGGGGAGCGGATTGTGACATCTGCTTTCCTTATAGCAAGTTAGATACATGATGGCATCGCGGCGATGTTTCTACCTGCAAGGTAGCCAGCTTCCGAACAGTAAACCCTTCATTTCAAGCTCCTTTTGGGTGGGTCAACCACACTGGTTGTTGACCTTCGGTAAACTGTGAAATAGTCAATCACACTTTGCATCACTTTGCTCTGATATTCAAGAAGGAACGCAACGAAGGACTTTGTTGCTGATCCAATTTTGTCGGCAGCGCCACGTTCTTGAGTCATTCTTGCTGTTGAAGAAGGGACAAATCATCAGTTGTCCGCAGCTGCATACCCAGAGCAGCCGAAATATTGCTCGTGGCTAACCAGCTGACCAGCTGGCCAATTCGTTGTCTGACACATCAGGACAGTGTTGCCACAGTCCCCACACCCCGGTGTCTCCGTGGCCGTCTTGGGCTTAACGGTGAAAACGTCGTGTGTGCCTGACGTGTGGACAATCGCATGGCTTGCTTGAATCGTCTCTGGTCAGTTCAGCTTGTTTATTGGACCTAGTAGAAATAGCAAAGGTGTGCCTCCGTTGAATGAAGCTTCTACCCTCGCTTCAACAAGCATTCCAGAGTTGGCAAGAGATGGCAATCCTCCACTTCAAGCATGTGAGTCAACCAGTTCGCCGGGAAGCCACGCCTGAAGGCACACGCCTCAGCTTCTCTTCATGCTCCTGCCGAATAACGCCCTTCAAAATCACTTCACATTCCGGTGCGCAGACCCATGCACAACAGTCTGTTGCACCTTTGCGTTCACTTTTTGGCGTTAAGGATTCGCGGCAGGCAAGGCATGCTCATCTATATCATAGCCGCTTTCTTGGGCGTACTTGCCTCTTTCGAAGTGGACATTCCCATTGCGGTCCTAACGGATTGAGCACAAGTTGCTGCATTCACACATCTTGATACTTCATGCTGCATCCAAATGCCACACAACGCACCCACTTTGTTCTCTAGAGGCGACAAGTAGGCCAAAAAACAAACAAACCTGTCTACAGTAAAGGATGCTTCTTAAGAGCTCAACTTTCAGCTCAATGCGTGTGGCATCGCTTCTGCGAGTGTGGTGCTAGCTTCTGCCGGTAGTTATACAGTTTGCATGCGGGGGAAAAAAACAAAAACAAACACCCGTTTATCCTTCTTCGAAGTGTTCATCAAGCAATAATGATATCGCAAACAACGACATGCAAACTTCAAATAATACCAAAAAACAATCCAGGTTGCCAACTCGGAAATCTTGAAAAGGATAATTTTGGCACAAATTCAAGAGTCAGCGCCGTCCTTGCCCAAATGATCCCTGGCGAAGCAGAGCGTGGGGGCTGCATTCAGCGTGCCCCATTTGATAGCAGGCCAAAGCCCCAGGATCTCGTACCTGCCAACGTGCTCCACTGAAAGTGAACACAAGCGCCAACGGGTCAGCCTAAAACAGAAACTACAAGTAGACTTCCTCCCAATCTCATCCAAACGCAATGTCTCAGGGTCTGAGCAAACCATCAATGGACCAGTTTCCAAAAAACCAACCGATTGCTGTCAGAATTGCACTGTAAAGGCTCAGCTTGTCGCAGGGTGTGACAGAAGCCTCCCCTTACAACGATTAGCTTCACTAGCGACTTTGCCGTGCTGATGTACCAGCAGGCTGAGGAACTTGTATCAAACAGGTGTCGATTCTGCAAACTGCATGCCAGGTACAGGATAGTATGAAACCAACAACACGCCTACATCATTGGAATGGGGTTGTGAAGTACTCTAGAGCAAACTTAGTCTTTGTTACAAGCATAATTAGGGTTAAACCTTTCGCAATTACTAGCCCTTTCTAAGTCTAATCGCAAAGAAACACTTCCTGAGCTCCGAACGCCTTCAGCCCGAAGTTGGCCACCCACCTGCGACACGGCACAAGGGCGAAGTGTTTGCGCCACAGATAATACGAGCTTCCCCAGACATGAACCCTAAAACTTGTTGGTAGGCTTAGCATAAACCCTGAAAGGTGTCTGGAGTCCAGAGGCCAACAAAAGAAACGTAAACAGCGCTGATGGGGCCAGCATGAACCCAAAACAGTGTTGGTGGGCCGAGCATAAACCCTAAAAGGTGTCGGTGGGGCTAAGATAACCCTAAACACAACATGAACCCCAAAACGTGGTGGTGCGGCCAGTAAAAAACTTAAAAGGTGTTGGTGGGGCCCACATAAACCCTAAAAGGTGTCGGTGGCAACAACATAAACCCTAAAAAGTGTGGGCGGGGCCAACATAAACCCTAAAAGGTGTTTGGAAGCCAACATAAACCCCCCTAAAACGTGTTGGGCGGGCCAGCACAAACCTTGCATAAAGCCTAACAGTGTTGGTTGGGCCTGCATAAACCCTAAAGCAGTGTTGGTGGGCCACGGATGATGCGAGCTTCCCCTACGGGCATTGCGGACACTGGGTTGCTTCCCCGTGTTCTCCCAATTAAATAAGCTGCACGTGCTTGCTTGATTTACGATGGTCTGGGTGGACTGGCAATATTTTTTCAACTTGGTGCCAAGACCAGCCCAGCCGAAGTGTAGTCATCACTGGATACAAACTTGCAATCATATAACAAAGCTCGATAAAATGAGTCTGCTGATGTCTGCTGCCACCAACAGGCAATGATTTGTGAATTTGTCCAACCCAAGAAGTCTTATTCTACACTTGTGTTTTTTGGGTTAATTGTAGTGTGTTCCATCTCAGAAAGGGGCTCCCTCATTTTGAAGCAGCGCGCTGTTCCATCGATAAGGTTTGACTTGTCTAACGGTCTGTGGTACAACAGCCAATTGTTTCAGTTGGCTCGGAACCCTGCCAAACACTTGGCAAACCGGGGCGGTGCCAATGATGCAACTGATGACAGCTGCCTAATCGGCACCAGCTTGTAGGCAAACATGTTCATCTCCACATGATGTGAGCAGTAGACCTGGCAGCGGCATCTCGCAATGGTAAAGGGGACCAAACGCACCTTGGTGGTTCTTTGTCGGCACCTTGCCCATCCTCACGCTGATACTTGAATCGGAGTAAGTTCGGCCAATGCGCTTGTCATAAACGTGTGTCGGCTTGTCCTGTGGATGTGGAAATGGCTTCCAAACTCTGGGACCGGGTCTTGGAACCATGTTGTTTGTTTGAACTATCGACAGTGATTGGATGCTTGGCCGACGTATTCATGACAACTATCTTGCCCGCTACTCAACTGCACAGCTGACACACCTGACATGCTCGGTGAAAACTAAATCAAACGCAAACGCTGAAAACCACTCTCCAAAACAAAGGAAAACACCAATGCTCCGAAGTTCACATTCTAGGAATCAGTGCCCAAACCAGCGTATCTATTGAGAGAAGTATACAAAATACATGCCCCCGCTTGTCTCTTGCAATGCAACACTTGTCAACTTGTGCGATGCGCACCGGAATGCGGCGCCATGCGCAGGTGGTCAGCACGAAGGTTCCAATGAGCGAGGGGTAGACCAAATGCACCTGGACAAGCACGTGCCAGTTGTTCAAAACTGTGCAAAGTGATGAGCTCAAACCTGAAGCGGAAAATTGACATGTAAACTCTTTAAGCAAGCAACTTGGGTTGTCTCTGACGCGCGCGCACACACACACACACATGCGTATCACGTACTTAGCCATGTTGTTGTCCCCGATCAGTTTTTCAGGGCAAGTCACCCCAAAAGCAGTTGTCAGAAGTACCTCGTTCAAGCCGGGTTTGTTTTCCCACTGAGCAAACCAAACCCATCATGTGGGTGACTCTTTGTTTGTTGGGGGTCACCTTTTTTTGTGGAAGGCTTTTCAAGGGACACCAAGAAGAAACCCGGCTGTTTGGAGGGTTCACCCGAGTTATGCTGAGACAAGAGAACACCTATTTTGCCGCTCCCGAGGCTTGCTGAGGCGGTGACCACGTCCCAGGTGTGGGCTCCCAAAAACCAAGCCAGCTTCACCTGAGTGCGTCAAAACCGCGATGCCAATGGGGCCCATGGTCCAAATGGATGTAATAGTTCCATACATTTCTGAGAATAACATGGCTACATTTTACAAAAACAGAGTCGCATGGTCCAATCAGCGTTAATGTGCAAGGGGCCGAACCGGCAATTCAAAGGCGGCTGGCGACTGATGTTCAACGGCATCGTGGGTGCTCCTAAAGCCTCACAAGTCTCCTCTTCAGACATCAAGTAGCTCAAATCAAGTCAGATTCTCAAATCATGAGAAACAGTTAAGTCAGTTGATGTCAAACATGATCACTTTCAAATTGTGCTGTCAGCTTCAAAAACAATCTCAAGCAGCAAGTCCGTTTGCACATGGACAAGCGCCATGCAATGGTTCAATGATTCCCCTGCTTTTTGTCTCTGACGCAGCTCGACATGCATTTTACAGTCAAAGTCAGGGCAAACGTATTTTACCTCGTTGGCGCAAACAAGCACAGCATTCTATGTCTTGCTTGCCGCATCTCCACGCTGTGGTTCGCCCAGCTCCGTTTTGCCCAATCCATCAAAGCGCAGTCCATGGGTTTCAGGCGCCGACTCCGGGGTTGTAGCCAATGCGGTTCTTCAAGTTGAAGGGGTTCACAACCTGGCGACTAGTCATTATTGGGCAGTGTCGTGGTCATCACTCTTGAATGGTCTTAGTTCACTTCAAAATGATCCTTTGTAAGGATTAGCAGGAGGAGACTCATACATATCTTATTGACGCCGCCTCACCGGTTGTCTTTGGCCCAAGAAACAAGAGTACATAAGGTCTATATTGAGCTGATCCCTCCTTTTAATGGGAAGCTCTTGGACTTATCCCTGGCGGTTGGCACTTGCGTTGTATGATGCCTCATGCTCAAAGTCGCATCATGCTGTGTTGCAAGTCTTGGAGCTTGTGTACTTGTGTTCTGCCAATGCGTGTGCGAGTATAGTATCATTGCGTTGTGCACCTATTCTACAATATGCTGTGTTGGTCAGTCAGCTCTGGTGTAGAAACTCAATCGCGCGCAGCCGACCGCTGGAATGTTGGGATGGTCGAAGGAGGTCTCTTTGGACGCTTCGTAGGCAGTGCTGAAGACGATGACCTGTCCGCCCACATGAAGATCACATGAATCAAGCGTGCGACCAAACAACACACACACAAGCTGCTTCAATCACAAAGCACTACATAGTCACAGCATCCAATATGAATGTGACTATAAGCTTTGCAGGCGCCCGAGCAAGCAGCTGTTTGCCACAATGTGTGGGATCAATACTCTTTGCACAAGCAGAGCGCAAAATCTCACAAGACTCCCCAGGACGATATGCGCGCCTCGTGGCCCTTCGCCCTCATCTCCTTCACGTAGGCGTGGCAACGAATGGCGATGCCTGGCACCGGCTTTTGCGCAAAGCTGAAGGGCAGCTTTTGCGCACCTTCACTCCCACAGCTGCTTGCCAAGGTCAAGATATCTCAGTCTTGTTGCCATCTGAGGAACTGTTGAAGATTAGCTGCTCCCCCAGTGTGGGATGATGAAGGGAACCATTCACCGGTCCAAGCTCGCTTAGCATCGACTTGCTCACTGCATTTAAAGGGGCAAGTCAGGCCATGCGTCTGCGGAGGCAAGTAGTCTGTGATGACCAAAATGCGGCGATTTGCCACTGGCCTTCCTGCCAGGGTGCATTCGACATTCGGCATTGTAATTCCTTTGGGGTGTCCGTCAAAAAAGCAAGTCCCTTGTCTCTTATACCAGCTCAAAGCCATTATGTTTTCCAATCAAGCAGCATTGCTGCCTTTTCCCAAGTAACATCGGCATTCCTATCCCGTTAGCAACTAGTCCACTTCCCCTGGTTTACAGTACTGCAAGTGGCTGTCCTGTCGCCACGCCGGTGATGCGCGCAATGAGCCGAAGGAACTGCGCCTGCCCACTTATGAGGTTGAACAAAGAAAACTGCCCTACACTTGCTGCAAATAAGCTCTCTGATACGAAAACGCAGACATGGTTATCAGCCCTGCCAAGCCATGTTCACAATGGAGTTGTTCAGCTAGCTTTATTGCAATCATCTGAAGTCTAAAACATTCTTATGGAAGGAGCTGTCTTTTTTCGGGAAAGCCCAAGCTCAAGTCATGGAGATACTCCAACCTGGCAAACACTTTGAGGCTCCAAGTCAAGTCGGGCAAGCAGTTGTCGGAAGGCAGCGGGTTTCCATCAAGATAATCGGTGACCACGTCTGTCGGACTGCACGTTGTTTCAACATGGCCCAACACATGTCCTTCCACTGGGCTATTCAACGGAAACCCTCAGCAGCTAAGACGTGCTCCAGGTCCATTTCAAGGTTCATCCGAGCCCAGTTGAAGGATTTGAGGCCACCGAAGGAAGAGCCGCTCGCCAGCTACTGCTGCCGAGCTCAAAAATTGATATTCGTCAACTCGAAGCCTGCAGCAATCGCGCTGCAATCCAAGATGTGGCTAACTATGACACTCTATTGGGTGAAAGCATTCAAACAAAAGGTATAACGGAAGACAATGTCTTCCGTCATGACAAACCTGGTCGCTGCACGTCTCTCAGCATGTTTGTCCGCTTCTCATCTTGCCAGCCGGAAACTTGCCAGCCGGAAACTTGCCAGCCGGAGGCTTCCCCAGTTCAGCAAGGAAAGCTGCTGAAACAATCGGCACAAGGAGCACGACAGAAAACAAACAAAGTGCAACCTAATCGCCAGTTGAACCTGTTTTGACTTGATGTGCTGCACTATCCACTGGTCCGTTGAGCAAACAATGCTTGAAATTGCTCTCATCACTAGTTTCACATGAAGCAAAGCAAATTGCTAAGGCTATAATTTCATACAGAATCTCTAAAGAACCTGGCACCCTGAAGCATGCCATTTTGCTGTCCTTGGTCATGAAGAAGTGTGTGCACGTGTCACGGCAGGGAGCAACCGTGATCTCGATGCTATTCTACAACAAACACAAACAAGCAGAGATGCCCAAACAAACAGATGGGAGATGCCTTGTCCCTTCCGTTCCGAGCACCCGGCAAGAAAGAACACGAAGTAGCTCAGGCACAAGCGCGGGAAGTACACGATCTTCAGGGCAAGCAACGGAAATCAGCACAACACATTGACGTGATGGCCATGTCTGGTGGCTACAGCCTTGCATCATGACAATGTACCAATCAAGAATTGGGGTTCTATATTATATTATGCATGGAACCTTCACCGACCATGGGTAAGCTCGTCTGCCCCACACGAGCTCGCTATTGTTTTTGCAGAACCATGGCAGCAATAAGTCAAGAGCCCAAATTGATGAGACTTCAGACTTGCCAGAACAGGCTTCACGCGCAAGCCGCCTGTCATTGAAAGTGTAAACAAGCGTAGCATGTGAAACAACATTTGAAGAGTTCATCCGCCCTGCCCCGCCAGGGTAAAGAACAGGAGAACCAGGTAGTGTGTACGCACCGCGGCGATCCAGCACCTCAAGGGAGAGCAGTGCCGTTGCCACTCACGGGAGCCGCGCTGACTCGCTGACTCGCTGATTGTACCACCCAGGACTTTGGCTTCAGTCAATAGATCAATGCCCCGATGTACGGGATCTCAAGCCACTACCATTCCCACAAGACATCACAATGCAAAGGCGCTCCAGACTTGACATTGACTCTGCTTGGCCGCCTGGAACCGCCTGGAAAACCACCAAACACAAACTGCATTGCATTGTGTGCTCCTCATCGCCTCTCGGCGACTGAATTTTGGCCATGATTTCACTGAGGCGGAGGCGTGACCTGCCTCCCAAGGACATTCTCTGCCATTGGGCTTGGAGTCTTATTCTGTCCGAGAATATATCCACGTAGACGCTGAATAATTACAACCTGCAAGCATTGGGTAGCAAATGTCAGCTGAGTCACACCGGAGATTCTTTATCTGCTGTGAGCCAGGTTTCAAGCGGCGCACAACTGCGACTGCACGTGATACCAAAAGGGCTTCCAAGGCCGCTTTCTGAAACAACAATAATTTGGACAGCGCGGCTGTATGAGGTGAAATCCAAGGCAAAGCAAATCTGCCATAAAGCTTGGTGAATGATAGATTGGAAGGTAAATGGGGGGCTCCGCAAGACTTCTTCGTCGTTCAACACCATTGGCTCAGCATGCAGGCCAGCCCGACATCTTGACAGCATGGAAGCAGGGGCATGCGTTGTGCACGGTGCAAGGAAAATGAACAACACGTAGCGTCGGTAGCAAGTCGAGGAACGTGTTAGAACAAGGTTGCAGGTCGCCTTGCCTGTTCAACTCTTTGACAAGGAGCCGGAAGAACGAGTCTCCGAAAGCAAACTCTGCCCATCCTCGAATCAAATCGCAACTCAGCTTATGCTGGCTGTCTGCCAAGTACCGTGGATGATGGTATTTACGACAAACCCATTCTTACACGGGCACACAAACATGAGGGCCTGACAAATACCAATGTGAAATTGGGGGAGAACCACGTGGTCCTGATTTTGCATTCCAGAGTGCAGAACATTTCACAAGAAATACCTGGGTTCGGCCCCTTGCCCTGATGATGTGGCCCTGATGATGTGGACAAGCTGCTGTATCTCGTTTTCATGGTAGATTATCCTGGCAGGCTTTTTGTTTGTAGGAGGGCACCACTGCAGGAGTGTTGCGATTGGGACGGAAACCAACATTTCCACCATGGGGTGAGCGCCTGGCCAGGTTTGCGGAGCCCGCTTTTTCGCTGCAGCGGCGAAATGCATGTGCCAAACCAGAGCTGTGCCCAGCCAGGCTGGGACAGGCAAGTGGTGTGGCATGTTCATTTAGATGCCAAACAGTAGGTCTAGAAACATCCGATCACGCAACCTGTTCATTGCCTCATCTTGAGAGGCATGAATGGCATCATTTCAATAGCGCACAGAGACAGCAGCATTCTTTAGAATGCCAACGCGGTCAGGTCCCAGTCTAACACCCCCCGCCCCCCCCGCCGTGTTCTGCAGCGGCTCATGTCGGCAGCGGCATAGCTCGGTGTCTCCTCCTGCGACCAAGCTAAGTTTGACTCACAGCACCACGCATGCAGGGTGTTCCAAACTTGGGGATGCCCTTTCCAAAGGAAACCAGCCGGTTTTGGTTTTGGAGGCCTCTGGTTTGCAAACAATCACATCATGCAAGAAACAGTGCAATGCGGAATGAGCAAACTGGTCCATGAGCCAATCTAAACAAGGGCTGTCGTCCATCTCAAGGCATTGTTTGCAGCTTGTAGTCCAGAATGGCAAGAATGGAACAACCAGCTTCCATGAATGAAATTGACACATTCCCTGGTGCAACGTCTAAGTGCTGCTCAGGTGAAAGGTCCCGTATATACACCAAATTATGTTGACTGACGCACAATCACGTCCGAAAACAAGCAATGCATGCTTTCTGGGCATGAGGCTTATCCAGATCTCTCGCCAGGCCTAAACTGCAGTGCCCACACTTACCAGAACATGACTGCTCTGCAAAGTGCAGTCCACCGTGCGATGATTGAGCTAACAAGACATGTTTGATGACAAAATATCAAACCATATCACACCACACTTAATTGTCATCAAACTGATCACCTGGAGGGGTGCGTGGGTGGTTGGGCGTCAAGTCATAAATCCTAAACTACAGGTTAGCCCTATCAGGTGCCAGGTGTCACTCGCAGGCTTGACTGACAAACCTGCTGTTTAGATAAGGCGGGATGAGATCCACCGTAGAGCAAACCCACCTCAATCAACGGCAGCACCACAACAAGAACAGTCCTAAATGTTTGTTTTGTCTTGCTTCTCAACAGAATAGCATGCATCGATGTATGTGCAAATCTTATGCGTCTGCCAATCTAATCGTTTAGTTAAAACGCGTGCCAAATTGGGGGCGCACACTTTGAGCCCTGGCACTGGTGGAAATGCAATCCAACCACCCACATGTCTGCGCCTCCTGCGTGTGGGCACCAGAAAAACTTCCGGCCGCGGCTCCCCTGGGCTAGGAAAGGATAGCATGACAGCAAAGTCTTGGTGTTTGCCTTTTGGCCCGTGGGGAAAAAAAAAAGACCCCTGGCGTAAAGCTCTTCTTTCCGGGGCCCCGTTATTTCCCTCCTCAAACAGAGTCAAAATGCAAACTCTGCGCAGCCTTCCAAAGGGCTGGGCCTCATGTGTTGAAACACAATGCCTGCGTGCACACTTGAGCATGAACATAGGACTTCTCATGGAATGGCACAAAATACCGTATATGATACATGGGTTTCAAGTGACTGGTACAATTCTAAATGGGGCCCTGGTAAATGGAACCAAGGACTAAAACCTGCGGTCCCCTAGTGGTTTAGTTTTGACCCATACCCGTGTGATTCAGAACTGCTCCCTCTACAACAGTCGTTTTCGGCTGCTGAGAGCTGCGGCGGTTCAGGAACTCTTCCAGGCTGCACCCGGTGTTCAGCATCTCCAGGGCGTGGTTGAACTCCTCCTGCCGTCTGCGACACATGGAACCCAGTCCCCAAACTACGTCCTCCTGTAGAGAGGCTGAAAAGCTGTGCCTAAGAGTCGTAGCTCAAAAACTGTTTTGTCTCGGTCTTGTGATCAATGCGTGCACATTGTCGACTGCTCTTCCAACCTCCTTTGGTCTTTCAAATATCGTGCAATAGCTCCTGACAAGTTGAAATATTGTTAACTTTTGGTGCTCTGCCTTTCTATCAAAGGTTGTTTTTGTTCTTCCATCTGGTGTACAAGAAGTGTGAGCTGATTTGAGAACACCATCAACAAGCGTTCAATGTGTCCATGACTTGTGCACATGATCCATGAGTCATGTCTCTCCCTTCTTGCGTCTGTTTCTTTCCTAGCTCTCTCAAGCCATGGCAATGCCGCTTTCCAAGCCCTCTTTGCTTTCTCTGCTTCGCTTCTTTCTGTGCATTGAACGTCAGTCTGCGTTCAACACCGTTAGCTTCACGCCACTCCCCAAGGCCTTCATCTGTGCCAAACGCTCCCGGCGCATCACGATGTTCAAGTCCCGAAACTCGATAGGATCCTGCAAAGCGGTCCGACCCCAGCTTTGACCTCCCTGTGAGCGTATTGGGCCTCTCTAGTGCTTGAATATGTCGCGGTGGCATTGCCTATTCTAAAAGTTGCACCTACACGAGAGCAGAGATATGCTGAGCATTGTGTATCATGCATTTGGCGGAGGGCTGCAATACTGCTATCGGATGCACCTTGAGATGACTTGCCTTTCCTTGCCAGGTCACTCCGAGGTTCAATTATGCAAGCACTCGGGGTGCCTCCTTCATATTGCATCGTGCATCCATAGTGTATCATGCAGGGCATGGATCGTGCTGCCCTGCACAATGGGTGTGCCTAAACAAAGGAGCCATGCAATTTGTATGGCTTTTGGATGACGGCCCTGTCAAATATTCACAAGGGGAAATTGATTGATTCAAGTATCATAATATCATGAGCGTGGCTGCTTCATGATTGCAGCTCATGCAAATGACGAGGTCTGGTAACACAGCCTTGCAGCCTTGCACCGATAGAAAGGCCAAACCTGTGACGACTCTCAGCAGGGTCGAAAGCACGACTGGCAAAGCCAGAAAACCAGCACTCATAAATCAGAAAGGGCTCCAAAAAGGACACCATCAGTCTCGCCAACGATACGCACAAATCGCACAATGTTATGTCCTGCCTGTGTCAACTCGTCTTGCAGGCTGACGTGGAAACTTCCATAACATGTCCAGGGCTTGAACGCATGCAGCATTTGAAGAGTAAGGGGCCATACTTAGAACTCAGAATTCCTCGTTACCTGGCAATTGGCGGGGATGTTCATACATATGTGACTGTAAGCGGGAATTTAGGATTATTCTCGAAGGGGGTGCATGGTTCTCGGTTGCACGACTTGTCTGAGCTGCCTCCACGTGGATTACCGGCTCCGGGTGGTTCTTCCCAAAGAATTTGAACCTGCCAGCGCTGCACAAAGTGAACAACTGTTCCCGCCAAGAAACAAGCAAGCAACATACAGGTCTAACTCTTCCAATCTAGCTGACATCGATGTTACGCTTACCCGTTCAGGCTGGACACTACTGGTGAGTCCACGAGAGGTGAATACAGAACAACAAATCGGAAAAGGAAAACTCTTGCTTGGATTGGCAAAAAACAAATCTGGCTGGTTCGTGCCAAATGCAGGAGAATGGTGTGCGCACGGGAGCATTTTGTGTTTGTGCAAGCTGAAGGTCAAGACACCTGTTCAATTCCAAGTGCCTAGCCTCATATTGTTCTCAGCCTAGGCATGCCAACGGTTTTAGCTCTTGAGGTGTCCTGCAGAAAAGCTGGAAGCCTCTTTTACCTTAACTGCGGACCAGAACAGCGAATAAAACCGCACCAACTTGCGAAACTTGTGTCGCTCACACAATTACGCCATCACCTTTGAACAAAAGCGCGCTCAGCGTTGAGTCCACTGGTATGGGAGGATCAGTAATGCAAAATATCCAAAGAACACCCGATCTGTTCATGCCGGCTGAAATCTGCTGAAAAGTCACGCTCGCTCTGATGCTCGCTGCCGGAAGCCGAAAGAATGTGGAAGGTGATTGTAATTGTAACCTCTGCGAGGCCAACATGTCTACACTGGATATATGGCATCCCTTGGCATTCACGGGCACATATATTCCAAGAATGTTGCAACTAGACTAGCAGAAGCTGGTTTGCGCGCAGGCAGTGTGCCCCAAATGTTCAGGCACCGCAATGCAAAACTAAGCAAGATCAACTCCCGAATTGGGCTTGTAAAAGGCCTAGCGCATGTCTGAACAGGTTCTACTCGAGGGCAAACGGCCGTTTGTGAGGGTGTGTGGAATTCAACATGCAGGACAGGGCTATGCAAGCTAGAAAGCTCATGAAGCACCTGAGCACTCAACACAGAAAACCCTTGCAACATCCATGCATGATGTCACGTGCTTGCTCGCGAAGAGGAAGTAGCAACTCTTGGACACCAAACCTTTCTGAGCCACCGGCCAGATTCCACGATCTTTTCGATCTGGCTTATGCATGGAAACGACCTGGCGATGTCTATGCACTGCGACCGTGTTGATCATGCCATGTCGTAATTCGGTTACAGGATCAACACACGCTTGAGAAGCACCTGACCGTACATCATTCGACTTCATGCTGCTTGGCAAGTTCATGGCCAGACTTTCGCCAAAACGTGTCATTCATATTCTAGGCGTAACCTTCACCCGATAAGTAAATGAACTCTGGCACATACGCCCACCCACCCACCCACCCACCCACCCACCCACCCACCCACCCACCCACCCACCCACCCACCCACCCACCCACCCACCCACCCACCCACCCACCCCCACCCACCCACCCACCCACCCACCCACCCACCCACCCCCACCCACCCACCCACCCACCCACCCACCCACCCACCCACCCACCCACCCACCCACCACACACCACACACCCACCCACCACACACCCACCCACCACACACCCACCCACACACACACACACACGCACAAAGCTTCATTTAACACACACCGCGTATACTTTGCCCTAATAAACAGATACCTTGACTGTGTTCCGATGCATCATCACAAAAGTGCTTAAGCGCAATCGCCTAGACATCTTGCTTTCAACCCCACACACACACACACACACACACACACACACACACACACACACACACACACACACACACACACACACACACACACACACACACACACACACACACACACACACACACACACACACACACACACACACACACACACACACACACACACACACACACACACACACACACACACGCGCACACACACACACACATGCGGCAATCATGCTGTGTCACAATGCGGCGTGCATTGCTTTGATTGACAGGCCCTATTTCTTCACGGCGATGTATTTGTACATGCTCGCGGTTTGACTGTAGTGCCAAGGCAAGTCACAATCAACACCTGGTACATCGTACTAGAGGAGCCTACTCCACCCAATGTAAGGGATTTGAATCAGAAGGGCAGTCACAGCCATTTATGGTTGGGGGCTTACCCGTATTTGTGGTTCTTGGAGGCCAAATACTGTTGTACTATCCCAGCGGTCTGCATCACCATTTCGAACTCATGGCCGCTGGAAAACAATACATTCTGAGTTAATATGAGAAGAGCAGTCATGAACTCGATAGCTTTGTCGAGCGTTTCATGTCCTTGCTAAGGATGAGGAACAACTCCAACTAAAAGGCTGCACCTCTTGACATAGCAGGTTAACTTGAAGGACCAAACGTGAATAGCTTCTAGAACTGCTGAGCTTGTTTTTGCCCCAAAAATCATGCACATTGTTCAAAGTTGGACAAACATTTTTGGGACCCTTGTACTAGATGATAGGTCAAATAACATCACCGGGTGGTCTGTGTCCATCGCGTCCCAACCTCTGCCACTCTCTCTCTCTCTCTCGCTGTATCTGTCCGTTGTTCCTTTCTGTCCGGTGCCCCGAGATCCTGCCTCTGTTCCCCAGTCGTACCTGAAGAGGAAGCAAGGAACGCTGGACAAAAAAAAAAACGGCTCTTCGGAGTCTGATTTCAGTTGCATCTCCATTTTTGCTTGAAGGAACTCATAAGAACCTCTCGCTGGCTTCGTGCTGCAGCTTTGTGGCTTCGAAGCCGGAAGTATCGGGAATGCCTACAGCATGCTGGATGTTGTTGTTTGGCTGGTATTATAATGCCAGTGATGGATTCTGAATACTGCGGTGTTGCATGCAACATTAACGTTATTGAGCAGGAGTCAAATGAAGAAGACTACGTAGATGCGGACATGCTTGAATGCTTGACGACGTCTCTACAGTGTGACGACTGCTAAAGATGGCCAATACACAAGCCTTCCAGCGAAATTTGTTTCCAAGCAGAGCGCTGGACCTTTTGCGACTTTTCCACCAAAAGGTACAATCAATATCAATGCGCATCAGTGCCTTGAGTGCAACCCAGCAACAGCCTCAAACCGGATTCAGTGCAGTGTGCATAACTTTGCAAGACGTAAAGAACTTGGCCTCGAGCTGTGGAGAAAATAGGCGGTATCCGGAAGAAAAAAGCAACTGGACTGCTCCTCTAACGACGAAGGCGACCAGAAAAATGAAAGCCCGAGTACTGTATTTGCAGATCTACATTTGCGCCTTCTAGGCGTGTAGGAACCATTTCCAGGGAAGCAAAGTCTCATTGCAGATTTTTCCAGGCCAACTTCAGGGCACTCCGTGGCAAAGAACCGAATGAAGCCATAGAGGAGTTGCGCCTCAGTGGGAGGAAACTGAGCACAACAGCCAAGAATGGCGAACAGTTTGAGCGGTGTAAACATTGAAGAGCGTTCGACTCAGGCAAGTTCCCTTCTTGCATCTGAGCTCTGCAAAGCTGAAGGCATTCATAGGCTGAGCATGCTGAGCAAACGCATCCACATTTACGGCGGCAAAGAAAATAGCAATCAATCACTCAGTGGGCATAAAATTTACTGTGACACTGCCTCTTCTCGTCACACGCGGGGCTGGATTCCCAAGTGCCGAGTCCAAAGGACTTAACGGGCAACCATCGATGCCAAACGACTCAAACAGATTCTCAAAATGTAGAACATGCCAGGTTCTCTCAACTCGTCAACGTCCAACAACTTTTTCGGCCTTCGTCGCGAAGCTTTCGCGGAGCTTCGCCTTCATATCTGAATACAAGGACATACAAGGACTTTTCAGATGACTCCCACGTGCGAAGCAGCTCAAACATCCACTTCAAACGCACTTCACTGCCCAACTGGAAAAGACATACTTGAGACAACCTAACGCACACTGCTTCCAACGACCAAAATAAACCACCGGCTGCGGCAGCAATTGTACGTGTGCATACATCTATGCTCATATACATATATGAAATTTGAGCATAAGCCAAACAAAAGCACGACTTCAGCCCGTAAAACCACAGTATTGTCCGCAATCACTGCAAAAGCCTGTGTCTGCCAAGTGACTGCCTCAACCAAGATTGGAATGTGTCAAATGTGGGGGGACGTGTACGCGATGTGTTGGTTCATTTCAGTGCTTTTCTGTCAAACATCTTCATGCCAGGCGGTCCAAAGCCCTCCCGCCGGATGAGGCAGGCGCCACAGTTAGGCTGTCCTGAGGCAAGTGGAGTTGAGGAATCACGAACGCAAAGTCCGTTTTGCCCCACAAAACCCCTCAGATCCTTCAAAATGTGTCCCTGCGATTGCGCGCACACACAAAAGAGAAAGGCGTGATCACACTGATGGGGAAATCCATTAGTCAGCTGGGTGTCTGGCTTCGCTTGAGAGACTCTCTCATTCACTCTCGCTCTCTCTTTCTCTCTCAGAAGCATAGTAACATAGTGGTTCAAAAACCATTTTATAGGTATGACCGAAGGCACTGGAATGCCAATGGAGTAATGTTGGGGTGTCAAGCCGTGAGATATTGAGCAACCACGATCTAGAGTTTAGACGCTTCGCACTTCACTGCACCTGCTCTGATGTATGGTATAGCTCTCGAGAGTGTGCGCATCTCTCTACAAGCGAAATGTTGCTCCACAACACGCATTCTCCAAGTACGTTGATGGAATCAAGCCAGGATCAAAACGCTTGATCTCCTATCACCGCGCGGCGGGAGGGGGGTGGCCTTGCAATTGGCTTGCACCTGAACAATTCTGCAATATCCTTTGAACAACCAATGATATTATCAACTAGGCATGCCCAAACTGGGCGATCTCCGCACTTCTCGACCCCCCAGGCTGCCAAGGCCTCTGTTTGAGGCGCTGCAATCGTCTTGTCGGCCACGGCCTTTTGGTACTCCTGCAGTCATGCAGTACTTTCGCCACTTGCCAGATGAGAAACCACACATAATGCATGGCAGCTTCGGCCAGCAGCCACCTTGCTTCTTCTGTCATAGTCTATCTAGCGGCATAACAAGCGGACCATGAGTGTAGATCAACCCAATGTTGCCAGCTGGGCCCATCAAACGCGATCCAAACTTGCTTCATGTGGCACGGCATTGTTCCTTAGGTCGTTCTTCATCGACGCCTACCAACTGGAGTGGCGCTCACCCGAGAAGCCGATAGCAGGTTCGACTGACTTCCGGTTACAAAATCTGCTCAAAAAGGACCAGGCGAGGTGATATCTCCTGGGAAGATATAAGAGACATAATATGATCCTGCGCAAAGTTTCGGACACGTCTGTCACATCTGTCGCTTAAGAGGAGCACTTGAAATATACCGAAATTATTGTCAGGTAATTGTCCAATTCCAAAGAGACAAGTACAATGCCCAGAAATCCCAAGTGGTTGCAAGGTCTTTTGCTCCACGGTCCTGGTCTGGCCATTCCGTCCCAAAGGGCCAATGCAGAGATGGGTCCGTCCGCCCTTCCGGACATGAATGGCGAGCCTCGACCGTAAGGAATCCAGTGTCAAAGTCCCGGATATTGCCCCAGTAGTCACGCGTGCTGAGTATCCTAGCAAATGACAGAATGCATGGAAGGCAGGACCAAGAAAGGATAGGAAATGACAGCCCTGCTTGCATGCTGCGAAGCGGAATTCCCAAACAAACCAACCAACCCAAATGATGCAAAATACAAACACCAAAGTCATGCCCTGGAAGGTCTGGCTACTGTACTTTCCCACAAAATGAGTGAATCTTTGCCATGCGCAAGGAGTCATACAGAACATCAAGGTTCATGTCTCACAACGCCGTGAGTAATATAGTGGTTGCATGGAGCAAACAAGCTAGCTTTGCGCTGAGGCTAAGATCTGTGGAGTTGCTGAAGGGCTCGTAGTTGAACAGCTGCTTGCCAGGCTTGAGAGGAAAGCAAAAACTGCCAACATCCAGCTGACGCACTCCACGGGTGAAAAGCAAGATGGATCACGAATTCGAGCCCTCAAATTGCTTACAAACCTCTTTTCCGAGAAGGGCTAGAAGTTGCTGACCAAGATTCAGCACATGGCTGTAATGCGCCCGGATCTGCCAAGTATTGAACCCTAGCAACGTGGGAGTTGCAAAGCTGTGCCGCCAACGTTGTTGGTTGATGGGTTGCAGGACACAGGACATGACCTGAAAGCAACAAAGCTGAAGGGACAAAAATGGGGCGCACCTCTTTTCGTCGTTGAGAACCTCGTGGAGGAGCTGAAGGGATGGAAGAAGGCCGACCAGCTGCAAGAAGTACAAGACCTGTGCAAGTGCAGGGTCCAAAGGTATATATAGAGTGCCTGTGTCATTGTCGTCACCCTTGAACAGAGTGGATACCTTCCAAGGCTCTGTGGACATGTCCAGGAGCACATGCCAGAAAATCCCTCAAACATTCGCACTGATGCCCTAAGCTTCCCAGCCACTTGAGGCTCAGCAGCCAAACTGTGAGATGACAGGCCAAAGCTGTGATGACTGTACTGCTGACACGTCTGCAAAAAAAACATCATCGACGAGTCGACGAGTATTGTAAAAACACTTCTCCAGATCATTAGCTACATTTATGGCCAAATGCTTGTTTTTGTTTACATGAACTGGGTCATTGGGGTGCATAGTATGTCACTAGCACCTTCCCAGGACTTCCTTCCAGGGATTCCAGTCCAAGTCCATCTACTGATTTGTTGCCTTCTTTATCACCATCGTCATCATCATCATCGTCATCGTCATCGTCATCGTCATCGTCATCATCATCATCATCATCATCATCATCATCATCCTTAGCAGCAGCCTCATCAGCAGCACTATCATCTGCAGCACCATGCATCATCCTCACTAGCATTAACACAACATGATGTTGAATCTGCTACTTGCCAGTAGTTACTGCGCTGCTTAGAGGTCAAGTTAGTAAAGTTGCGAGCATAGCAACCACACGAGACATCGATCATGCTGAAGCCACTTCACTCTGACTGCCGATCTTGAAAAGTGTTTCAGCATACATCCTCTCCCCCACATTGGAAGGACGCCTTTTGGGGCAGCTTGGCTGGAAGCGAGCTTTCCCTGACCGGCTCCCTAGCAACCTTTTAACTCTTTGAGCCGGAGCTGGAAAAGCAAAGGAGAGCACCGCGCTTGCTCAAGAGAACTAAGAGGCTGAGCGGAGTGCACTCTGGCAGAGACACCCAAAAATACAAATGACAAATTTATTGGACCAGAACAAATTAAGTGATGAGTCATTCTTGACTATGTGCATGTGGCCATCTTGACAACTTGATGGGTGTGGGGCATTCTTCGGACCGGGGGTACTGTATACCAAAGCATCATGGGTGATTGGGGCCTGGGCTTGTCCATGCAAAATAAGTCCTATCATGACTGAGAAATCTTGAGAGCTAGGGATTGGGACACTGCCAAACATTCCGATCTTCTTGAACACTGCTCAATCGTCAGCGTCGATCTTTCAAGGCACAACGTTGTATATTGGACAGTCGCCAGACATCAACTAGATCGTTTTTGTTTTTTGTTTTGTAGGGCTAATTCGGAACAGCTGGAACCAACCTTCCCACTTCCCAGGGCTCATCCGGAACAGCCGAGGCCGGAAATCAACCTAACTCAGCGACCGCTTTGCAGGGCTGGGACCAACCGAGGCCAGAAATCAACCTTACTCGGCGAGTTAGATCGCTTTTGGGTTTCCAAGGTGTCGTACAAATGATTCCAATATCAATACATATACGTGATGTGTCGATTCGACCCTGCTTGACGAGTGAACCTAACGTGCCACTGTTCAACGCCCATCTCACAAGCATGGACTCGCAGCTCAAAGACGAGTCTGCAAAGCGACCAGCCATTTGTTCCAGCTGGTGATTTCACAAATTCTCTGGCGGGCCACGAGGATCAAGCTTCGCCCTCCAGCGTCCACCCCACCCGAAACCGAATTTCTGAAGAACAACTATTGTCTGCCACTCTGAGGCAAAGGCCATGATGGTCCAGGAATACGAGGAAAGGTTCCCCTCGTGGGCGCCACAAATGCGCTTGCCCTTGGCCCAAACCTGGCGATCATGAAACACAGACTTGGGCACAAGTACATTCAAGCGTAGCGCATAGAACTAGATGGAAGTCATTGCCATTGCTGATTCAGGAGTGTCCAAGCATCCAAAATTACTGTCTCGACCATGAGGTCGTGGATTGCACCATTCACCGCCTGAAGCACAGCCTGTGTTCTCCAATTGCGGGAGACAAAGCTGTTGCTGAAGCAATAAAGCTATCTAAGTTCCTTGTTGAAACCCTGTGTTCCATGATTGTTGACAGCGCTTCTGGACTGCATTGGGAACTGGTGACAAAAAGCACCTATCAACTGGCCCTTTCTGAGCAGGCTCCCCGGCTGGTGGGTGATCAATCAAAGTGACAAACCCTCTTCTTTGACTGAGCAACTCAATCCACTCCATTCCACTCCAATCAATCTGTCCACAACAATTAACCAGCTATGCAGCCTGCCGGCTGTTGGGAGGTGCAACCCAGTGGCCATCTTGGTGATTTGCTATCAAGTGAATTTGAGGTGAATAAAAGAAGGTTCGGAACAAAATTGTGGCCTCTGGGATTCACAAGAGCGAAAAAAAAACAATCTTGCCTCATTGATGCTGACATGATTGCCGTGCGGACGGCCAGTCATCAATCCAGGCAATCCAAGGTGCATTGCTGCTGCTGCTGGTGTCTACTTCATCCGCACCTTGACCAAAAGGACCAGCGGCCTCACACGCCTAAGCATCAGGTCCAGACTCGTCTCATTGCGTGCACCCCCTATTTGCTCAACAATACTCACTCTCCCACTACCATACCTCCCCGGGCATTTAAGCGCATTATTACTCCCACCTAACTAGTTGTGATATCATGCAGTGGGTCACGTCCCAACGTTAGCGACCCTCCTGGATTGGCCTCCCTAATAGCAACTTTCTGGAAGCTAAGCTCATGTTCTGCAAAGCCACACGGCTGCCAGGCCACACATATGCACAAGCAATTCGCATGCTATTTCTAAAAGTCTAAGGATGGGGCTGTGCTTACCGTGTACACCCCGTTCTTTGTAGTAACTTCAGCCACAAGGAGGCTGGGCTCAATGGCGCCAGTCACAAACTGCTCTTTAACCAGTAGCGAATCCTGTTGCCTGAGCAAATACTCACCAGCAGAATGCCTTCAGCCAAGCTGCTCATCCAGCTGGGAGTAGGATTTCAGCAATCGAGAGTTGTAGAGTGGCAAACCTGAGGCATTGTCCAGCAAAAGCACATACTATGTCATGGAGGTCAGGCAGTTTTTGCTCGAAGCAGCAAACAGGAGATGAAATCCGCTTTCCAGTTTGGCAAGGGGAACAATGAGAACGAGGTCACAATCGATAATAACCTGGAACAGTTCAGCGCTGCATGGTCATACCGACCAAACAGCGGCCATTCGCAGATACAACTCGCGGAAGATTGACACGTCGTGGTCAAACTCATGTTGCGGAAGTACTTGTGCTTGACCAATGCACACTTCGTGGGCCGAGGGAAAGCAGCGCTCATTGCGTATCCTCAACCTGCAATTGCACAGTCCTCCGGTCGCAAATTTGGACGCAACAAATGTGCATAAGTTAAGCACAGTGCACCAACGAAATGGAATGGCTCTTGATCAACATTCCTTCGGCCAGAAACCGCCTGTCTTCGCGGAAAGACACAAAACAACAGCTGTTTACTTTCGCCACTTGCTCACGGGTTCGTCGCCGTAGAGTCTTAGTTGTCACATCGGCACCACGGCGGTAAAAGTTGCATCTTGCCAGTACCGGCGTAGTACGAGGAATGCACTTCCGCAGCTGGCTGAAACTTGCAACCAAAAGTAGAAACGCGCTTGAGCAGAACCGGCTCGCAAGACTTGCCAGTTACAACTGTGGTTCGCAGCGTTGAGCTGCCGACCAAGACCACAGAACCCCCCCAAGCAGGCCGTATTGCGACCTCACCAGGCTTTGATACCGAAAAGGGGGAAGGCAACGTGACAACAAAAAGGAATGTTCTACAGCAAACATACACTGCGTTGACATGCCACTGACTTGGAATATGGCAGTTGCACAAAAGATTCGCAGACAAATGTAGTTTACGTTTGTATCTTTGGATGCATGTGGTTGATAGTGTGTGAAGCTCCTTTGAATGTTCAGCCTTGCTTCAGCAAAAAGCACTGACCACGCCCAAGTCGCGACAAACAGCACATTCCACTCGCAAGAATGAAGAATCCGCGGGTGCTTTTGACATGCTTGGCTGCTGAGGCTTGAGCTGTTGTTAATGGAGATATCCACTTCCTTCAGCGGCCCTTGCCTGCCCGACAAGGGCGGCACGCATCGGGTGCCCTTGCCGTACTTGCAGCAACAGCAACGCTGACTCTGCTCGGACCCAGTTCGCTGCTCCGCAGCAACATCGGTTCATACGGTGCAACACTACAAACGATTACGAAGAGGTTCAGGGAAGACCGATACACCTCGAACAGCAACCCCTTCCCCCTCCCTCCCCCTGCGCACATGTCTTCCAGCGTCACCAAGGGCTTCCGCGCTTGTGGTATGAGGTTCAAGACCTAGCGGGCAAATGTGGGCAAACTGAACATCTGGCATCCTGCGCGTGCTGAAGACATGGCAATGACGGAAGATCCAACAAAAGAATATGGCAGTGGGTCAAAAATAGGTACCCAAAATGGAACCATTGTAAATGGAAACATGGACTAAAACCTGTGGTGCCCCGGTGGTTCACCCATACCCATGTCAATGCATTCCTGGGCTGCCATTGTTTTCCTCGCCCCACTGCCCCGCTTCATTTTCTGTGTCGCCAAAAGCCAACCAACTCTATCAATAGTGGTGACAATTGTGCTGAAGTCGAACGTTGTCCTTTCGCAAAATCTCTGCTTTTGATTGTTTCACTGCAGAGCCTAAGAATGGCCATCTCAAAGTCTCAAAGAAGAACTAAACAGCTCAAGCACCTGCTGGTTGGCGGTGTCCTGACCCACTTGACTGGGCTGGGGTGTGGCAGCTAGTCGCCCAGTCCCACCTTGAAGCCGAGCTCCGGCAAGTAGTCCGCCAGTTGCTGGACAGCATGGCACATCGCCGCTTTGGGCGTGAGGTTCTTGGGCGGATCGAACCTCCAGCGCCCGTTGAAGCCCGGTGAAGGAAAACATAATTTGCGGGCCCATTATTTTCAATCTTCAGATTTTCAGCCCTGGCAGAACCCAAAAACCTGCAAAGGCAGAAGAGGAATATATTGGTTGGGCAGGGCCAACTCGTTTCAATGTTTGCAAAATGTTCAGACCTGGCAGAACCCGAGAAATCCAGCAGCCCGTTCCTCAACTTCATGTAAACTGCTTGGAAATCCACTGACACATGGAATGGGCTCGACCCGAAGCCGTGGTGCACCCAACGCCGCAGTGATTCGCATCTACAAGAGCACAAAGCTTTTGGGCCAGGCTTCCTTGCCCCTCACTCAAGGCTGCCAACAAGTCGGTAGGTCAGGTGAGGGCCGGTGAGGGCCAAGCACGTTTGCTTCAGTACCAGAGATGGCCAGCAGTGTACAAAACAATCAGCGAGCTCTCACACCCACACAAAAACAATTCGTGGTAGGTTGAAATTGGAAATGGTTCTTTACAAACACACACACCTCCAATGACCCACGGGGACAAGCTGGCGAAGCAGGTGCGAAACTCTGAAATGTTCCAATGCAAACAAACTCCATACCAAACAACATTCCAACAATGGATTGACAGTAAAGTTGATCTGACATTTCGGGAATTCAATGTTGCTGTCCAATTCTTGCGGCGTGTCTCCCCCCGTTCTGGGCCGTTCGGCTCGTCCAAGTCGTCTTGCAGAGTGCCTCGCCTGGAAGGAAAAAGCAGATGCGAACTGCCAAAAGGGTGGCCCGTGGTGGTTTCTCTGTTGGTCTTGGTCCAAAAGCCATCCCAGAAGATTCGTTAGCTTGAAATGTATTTCACATCTCAGGAGCGCCACCAGAGCCGACAAGCATGAACACCGCGCACATCAGCCACAGTAACCTTATTGCGGGTATAATTAATCCACTTGAAAGGATCCTCGGGAAAATGGCGCCGGAGCATGGCCGCTACGGGATGCACAAACTCAGCGTGTCCGACATAGGCCGGTCCTAAAAGCACTTGCAAAAGCGCATGGCCGTGAGGGGAATGCGTGGACATAGCAACACTTCCAGCTCCCTCAAACTCAAACTTCACAAAGCACTCCGATCCAAAGCACGCGCAACGGATCTGCCGGCATCCTTCAGGCCCCTAGGTCCAAGCTGCACTCGCGAGAACCCTCACCCAGCCCCATTCCGACCTCTGATGCCGCTGGCCCCAATTGGCGTAGCTCATGAAGTATGTGAGCTCCTCAGGCACCAGCAACATTCAACAGCCGAAAAAGCACTACAGCCTCTGAAGACACTCCCTGAAAATCAGTATTGGCAAGACAGCCATGTTCATTGTCAATGTGCAGTGTGGCAATGTGGCAATAAGCTTCTACCGTTGACGCAAATACACATCAACTACAGCAACTTGGAGAAGGTGGGTTGGAGAGTGCGGGTCATCACAATTAGGATGTGGGGATTGATCACAAGGTCCTTTACATGGGATGACCATTTGGGAAAACCACTAAAAAGATGGTTTCCCGACTCCCCACTACAGGAGAAAAGTTTCCGTGGTCATGTGGCCTGGAATATTGATTGACCCCATTGAATAGAACAAGCAGTGCACAGCTTTGATTGCGGAATTCCTGTATGTTGCAAATATCATTGCGATATGGAATGTTGAGTGCCTCGAAGCGCATCCCGCTTCAACCATTGACACAACACCTCAACATCAGAGGCGTCAATTCTGACTTCATACCTTTTGATATAGATTGCTTGCAATCATAATCATTATGGTTCTTTGGGCTTGAACTCAATCTCCGGAAATTTGCACATGCCACCCACTTCTCAAAGGTAGACGTCAATCCGGTGAAACTGATTCTGGATTCTGAAGTTGGATCTCAGCTGGTCTGACGGGAGCCTTCGAAGAAGAAAAACAACCTGCAGCCAGACGTCCTGCTCCTTGATGGCCACGAGAACATCCAAATCGGAAGATTCCTGACAGGCAAATCGAGCACCTCGACTTTAGCAGCACATCCCCACGAGGCTCTTCTTTAGAGGACCCACAAAATGGTCCGAGTACTGACAATCTGAAGTAAGCAAACCTCTGCTGATCTGTGGTTGCTTTCCGCCCGGGAATGCTAGCAAAACCAACAAGCTCATGGCCTCATCCAATGCGCCAAGTTCTCGTTCCATGTCGGATACTGAGGGCTCGAAGCACCGAAGCCGCAGCATCGCGCCTCCCCGAAACCGTTCACTGTGGAGCCGAAGGGGTGCACGGTGGACGAGGGCGCCTAAGGCGACATCCAACACCAGCAAAATGGCGTCACGACTTAATTGACACTTCAGAACCTGTGGCGCCCTTGAAAAAGGCTCAGGAAGTCAAGGAGTTCTTCGCAAAACAAGATAATCAAGACGGTCGAAGGGTACAGAAATCTATGTTGGTCTATGATGTAGACAACAACATCCATAACATAGAGCCGGACAGCGGCAAGAAGGACCTTTGCTGCCTTTCACATGCCCTTCTCAAATCAATTCAGCAAGGCACCCAGTGTCAAAACCGGCATGGACACTAACAAAACCAACAAGAACCACCCCGCGATTTGTTGCTCATTGCTTTTCTGGCAGGGCGAAATTGAAACCACCTCATTGTGACAAGGTGCCACACATCTTCTGGCGCCCTCCTGGATTCGCTGAACAACCTTCTCCACCACCTCGTCGGCCTGCATGTCCGGTGAGTGCATGGATTCAATGCTACCTGTTCTTTGAAAACAACGATCGAGATCCTCTCAGCAACGCTTTTGATGATCCCCTGTCTGACTGCGCAAACGGGAGTGACAACGGAGTACCAGCGAAATGGCAAACCTCTCAGGGGCCAAGTGCCTGTGTCCAACTTTAGGAATGCGCATGACATAAGGCTGCTTTCCAAAATCCAAAGCATGCAAACTTTGAGAGCCAAACATGGTTTGCATTGGCTCACTGGCAGTCGCTGGCTAGGGAGCACCTACTGGCCAAACCTGCATTGACGGGTGATTCCAATGTACAAAGTCTTAGGCTGGTAGACCTGCTGGAGTTGGAGTAGCATTATGCGCCTGTTGCGGCACCTCACAGGCTGGAAGCAAAACAAATTCATAGCACTAAGTCAATAAGCACAGCTACTCGGACAGGACAACATGATTTGGCAGCCTGTTTGGCGGCCCGTGCAGCTGGTTGATTGCCGCAGTGATTGTATGCTTGTCATGTTTAAGCTGGATGTATGAGACCTGCACAACATTTCCTTGTTACAGCCTCTTTGCTTTCCTGTTTATTAGTGTGCAATCTAAAAACGAGCAGGTTCGGAAAACGTTGCTCTGCAAAAAGTTGATGCATTGGAAGGTTGCCAAGAGCTGGCAATGATAATGGCTACTCCAAGCAAATATCATGATTGCCTCTCACAAAACGGCATCTTTCCCAAAGAACAATTTTTCAAAAGAGGGCCACGCACTTCCAGGTTTGTGTTTGGGAGGGAAATCAACATCTCGAGTCTACACATTCTCTGTCGTGGTGTCAAAGAGACTAGCAACTCTCTGACCTCAAAAGAGGGATCCCGAAGTGTTTTCAACCGCGGATCTTCGGCTGTCCCTTTCATGTTCGTCATGTCGCTATGTGCTCTGCTCACACTCTTCAGTGGGACTTGAGCTCTAAACCTTGCTGGTTTGCCAAGTTAGCTGGGTATATCAATGCCCACTCACCAGCTAGAACATCACAAATACAATCAGTCCGGCCAAAATTCATTGGACCGTCAATGGGACATTGGCCTGCTGGGGCACACCGCCGAACTTGGCCAGGGCATCTTTGCTCAGGTCTGGGTGCAGGTTGGCCTGATGAGCGTTTTGCCGAGTGTCCCTCTCATTCGCTATCCTGGCACCCTGAAGCGCCTTCAAAACTACAGTGTGCAATTTACAATCAAATGCGGGGCTGCGTCCAGTCTAAAACAAATCAATCCCCAGACAAGGATATGAACACGCATTATATATGGCGCGCTTGCAATTTTGCATCCTACATGTGCAGCTGTCAGTCTCTCTTTCTCTGCTGTCTTGTCCGTCTCAACTGCCCTGCATCTTGGCTGGGCATCCCTCCAATCATACTAATTGATTGATATCCGCAGTCCCAGGAAGTAGCACATACAACTGTCATTTGGGTAAACAAATAAGAAACGCAAGCAATGCTAAATGAGTTATCTGCATACAAAGCCCGTGGGGCGCCGCCAAACGAAGATATCCCTCGCTATGGCTCTCAAGCTTTCAGGCGATGACTCCAGAAAGATTCTTAGTAAATATGCCAAAAGGGCTAACTCACGACTCAAACAGCCAACCCCATCAAAAGAAGGAGCGCCTGTTTTATTGCTCCAAACAATTGGGCGAAGCACCTCGTTAAACCGGGCGCTTAATCGGTCTCTTCTTGACATCGGTTCACCTCGCCGCTCGCCTGATTCAGCCAGTCCAGCAGCTCGAGCTGCATGATACCCGTGTCAATGGGAAGCTTCTCACCTGCACACTCTTTAAGTCCCTCGCTCGCATACTGCACGCCGTCTTTGGCAAACCCTCGTCTGCGCACTGCAACTCTACCTCACCTGCGCACTTGATCCCTCTCAGCTTTGACTCGCGTAGAAACATACGCCGAGACACAAAGGCGCAACATGAAGTGTTCGATAGTCACAAACCGATGAATCATAAACGGGCACCGTGCGCACATCAGTGGCTCTAAATTGTCCTGCCGCTTGCCCCTTGTTAGCTCATTGTTTTTGCTCATGGCTGATGCACTTGCTGATTCGGAAAGGAACATGCCCAATTCCAACCTTTTAACCCGCTTTCCTAATAACAACCACTCCTATTAACGAATATGTGTCTGGTCAAAATCCAAAGCAGAATCTCTCTCATTTCATTGCTAATTCTCCCAATACCAAACCAACACTAAACTCTCGGCAGCACTTTCAGCACATCCCCTCTTTTACTTGTAAACCCAAATTGGAAATTGTAACTTGAAGTTCGCTGTTGAAATTTGAATTGTACAGTCACGAAAAAGTGCCTTGAACAATTGCATACACCTACTCGGCACATTTTGACTTGACGGTTGTTGTGCCAGGCAAAAGGGGGGGACCCTCCATTTGGACGAGGAGCATAGTAGAAGCCTCCTTGAATCCCCTCAAACCCTATTAACAATAAGGTTTTGAATACAAATGGCGATTACTGGGGGGGGCCGGGGGGGGAGGGGGAGGGCAGGGGGAGGGCAGGGGGGGGGGGGCAGGCGGAGGATTCAACAATAGGGGGAAGGGATTGTTCTTCTATGACAAGGGAAGCTGGAAAAGCCGTACACCTGTACACCTCCAAGGGAGAACCGGGTACGTCAACAAGCCCTCCAGCACGTCAGCGGTCACATGTGCGGCGGTGAGCAGCGTCTATGGTGATGGGAGGGTGTGATGGCGGCTGCGGAAGATGCGGGAGGTGCACACGGGCAGGGGGGATGATGGGCGATGGGTGCGAAGGAAAAGGTTGAAGGAGGCAGTGGTGATGGTGGTGGTTGGTGGCCGGTGGTCGGTGGTTGGTCACAAGGTGTTTGGCTGTTGGAAATGACAATGGTGCTGGGCTTTGGACTAGACAACAAACAAGGAAAGGAGCATGTGCACAGCTGAGGGCGCACCTGTGTCAATGTCCGGTTCTCGCCGTGCTCGTCGCCTTGGGCAAATCGCACAGGCAAACAAGGTCGAAGAGGTAGTTTCGGTCTTCAACACACATAATGGTGCACTTCCACCCCATGTCTCGATTAATAGCTTGGCAAATTAACTGTGTAGGCTTCTCAAGCTCGTTGACAAATAGGGACAACACACCATGCCGGCTCTTTGAGATATTCCATCCCTTCTGTCGGCCTGCTTGCAAAGCTGAAAATAATCGCAGCGCATCCCTCATATGTAGCTGCGCATCCCTCATATTTAGCTGACTAGGTTCCTGCAAATGCTGGCTTCAAGCCTAGAAGCACTGCCGAGTTTTTGTTGAACACTAAGGTTCCCCAGTAAATATGCGGAGAACTGACTAGCAGAAGCGATGCGGGGATCCGGAACCATGCACGCAGGTATTTCATCTGGACACATTGGCCATCAAAACAGCACGTCAGGTGTGGAATGCCTTGCCTGCCCTACAGGCCAACGTAGCATGTGCTGGGCAACTTGATTTGTTGATTTCCCCCCTCTTTCAGCTGGTTTGTTGCATGCTTCATAATTCATAACTCCAATAACCAATGAGCCGAACCTGCCACAATTCAAATTCCGGGGGCCAACTCAAATCCGGGCACCATGTGAGTTCTATTTTGCATGCTCCCGAGCACTTCAAGCATGTAATATGTTCAATGGAATCCAGGATGCCAGCTGGACATTTCGGAGCCGTCCATCTTGTAGTCACAAGACTTCCACACGCCAAAACTCAGGCTTGCAACTTGCAACCAACAACGCACGTGCAGAAGGGTACATCCATTAATATGCGTTCCAGTCAATCTTGATCGTCAGCCATCTAACAAAACGAGGGAACGTGTCAAACGTAGGGACCTTCGAAGTGTGAGAGGGAACCAACCGTGAGGGGCGGATGCTTTCAAGTGGCTACCAAACTCAGAATGGAAACTATGCTTCGATATGCTTCGTCTTTGTGGAATCCGTTCTGATACACTTCCACATCGGTCTCCCGGCCTCAGCGAGACGCACAGGCCGATGCTGACACTGCCGCCTGCAGGCTGGCACAACACCCAGCAATTCTGGCACCCGGCTCTCGACACCCACCCCCTCTTCCCAAGACTTTGGGAAACTGAACTACTGAAGGATTGACTTTGCCTAGGTAGTCAGTTGACATCCCATCTGAACGGGGAAAGCGTCTCGAACTGTTGAGATTGTGTGGGGGATTGTGTCAATGTACTGAACCGGCGAACTTGTACGCACTTCGCGCAGCGATGGAAGGTGCCAAGAACTTCTGCAAAGGTACCAGGGGTTAGCACGAAAGACCACGGGGCTATTAGCGGCCAGCTAAAGTATGTGACGGACTTTTCTGTGTGAACCCCAAGAGGGGTCTGCGGAGGTAGCCCCGGTTCTGCGAAGAGGGCGCCGCCGGACTTCTTCTGCTCTTGGCACCCTCCTTTGCTTCCCCTTCCATGCTCCTGATCAATAAAGAACGCTTTGCACACAATCTATTACCGTGTTGCAACTTAGACATCAGTCAGAAAGGTATCCGTGTGGCGCCGCAGCCACTATCTTGCAAAGGACTTTAAGGAAACATGTTCCAGCCAAAACAAGATCAAAACCAAACTATCAGCCTACAACGTAAACATGCGGAGCAACCATCTCCAACCCAAAGCCATCTGCCTGGGCAGAGGGAACTGGGTCCGATCCTCCCCGCTTTCCCCACCGCTCCTATGCACCTCCGCCTTCGAGAACTCCCAAAGGCGAGTCTGGGACTCCTCGCGCCGAGTCCCAAGGAAGGGCTCCCAAACTATGAGAGGTATCCGCATCTGACAACCCGTCTCAAATGCCAAGCCATCCAAGCCATCCCGGAAGCTACATTATTCAAGTTGCTAAAAGCGGGCATGCTGAACCAACGCAGTGGGCCTCCTTCCTTTGCCGAGTGGAAAATTGTTTTTGACTCTTGGATGCAGCTGACATAGCTTCAGTAGCCAGCCATTCGAACACAAGTTAAGGTGTTGCGCTTGCCACAGCTGCAGCAACGGCCCTCATGGTGGGTAGATGAAATATCGGAACATGTTGATGAAAGTGAGGAGAATATCATGAAGGTACGCATAGCAGCATCACCTCCACAAACAGCACCTTGCCTAAGCACATGAAGGTGCTATGTTTTCAAAGCGAGCCTTTCTGCATGATGGTCAACGCCTTCAGAGTAACATACTATCCAAACTGATGCGGCCGTTGGAGTGCTCAAGACTCAACATCATAGCCACAGCTTATGTTCGGCTGGTGACCAGCCGCCGACATAACCGAGAATATCCTAAAAGTACCTGTTGCTAGTACAATAATGCCATACTCAAACCACGCATCGAGGGTCGAAAGGCTCCCAATGTAAGACATTGGCGCCTCTGCGCAGGCGCTTCGCTGCGCAGCCATGGCGAAGCCACCTTGGGAACCAAGTTAGCCTCTTGCTGTCGGACCGGACCGAAAACTGCCAGGAAGTCTGTATGCATGAACTTAAGAACACGACTTAATATACTAGATATTGAGTTTCAAGGTCGAAGGACATTCATCCACATCCAGTGAAGCACCAGACCAACATTGCATCACTTGATTCTCAATTGTCAGAATTGCTAAAGCGCAAAGGCCATGCGTCTGCGAGTGCCCGCAGTGGAGGGAAGCCTGTAAGGAGAACTCGGGTAGTACGGTGGTCACAGCTTAGCTGTACTGCGCGTTGCATCTATGCCTTGTTGGCGCTCAGTCTATACTGAATCCCAGGTGCAGCATTCATGATCTTAAAGCCAGCAAGTCGACATGATCCTGCATCAAAGATTCTCCTATTTGTTGTTCCACAGCTTGGTGCCATGAAAACTCAAAAGACGCGCGTGCGATCAACACCACCACAAAGACATAATCCTCCGTGGCCTGCCTCCCTGGCCTGCAAAAATGGCGGAGCCACAGCCGCCATGCGTAGAGCTGTGAAAAGAAGCCCACAGCTGTGCGCACGTTGGGGCACCCCCACTTTAGCGAACCTAGTTCTCCAGGTACGGTCGCTAGTGCTTTAAGCTGGCCTTCGATCCTTCCGCACCCTTTCCAAATGGCGCAACTTGAACTGGGACTTGCAGTAGAAACCCTCTTCTGAGCTATGCGTGTGGGTGTTGTGTGCGTGTGTGCGTGTATGTGTCAATGTAGTTGTGATTGTCCGTTTGTGCATCAGGTCAGAATAGCCCGTGCTGGCATGACAGGAAAGCTCGGCACTTTGACAATGCATTGCTGGTCGATCATGGTAACCCTTTAAGCCTTAAGCCAAACAGCTGCAAACAAAAATCCCTTCACATTGACATGACGACAGTTGCGGCACAAAGCATAGCTACAGTCATGCCCGATCCCTACCCACTATTGAGAATGGACCAAACAGGCAACTTCGAGTCTGGCAGTATATGAGTGGGGGGGTTGTGCCAAACAGCATTGCCAATAGCAGGTTTTCCCTTGCGTCTGAGCAGGCGCTATTGCGCCCAAGCACCGTTGGTGCACAGCAGTTAAGCAATGGGGGTGTTGTGCGGACGCACAACACAACCAATGCAACTGCGGCATCTTCCACTGGCTTTCGTGTTTGCTTCGGCCAACCGGTTCTTGCCTGGTGTCAAATTGGCTTGTCAATCCTTACCTGCTTACATGTTGGGAGCTCCCAAGTAAATCCGCGTAAAGCTCAATACAACTATGACGTGGTGGTAAATTGTGTCTGTGCACAAGACTAGAAATGCATGCCGAGGTATTTGGGTAGAAACTGCTCGCTGCACGCATCCTAATGATGCGCGCATGCGCGGAAGCTGCACTGTCCTAACATCACTCACACGGTTCAGACTTCAGGAGAAATGAAAGTCCGCCACTAATCCAGTTGTTCACTCCTTGAAAAACAACTCATGGGAATGATCACCAAAAACTATATACTTAGAAGAAGGCTGTCACCTCAAGAATTTCGAACAACGACTCTCCGGAAGAAACCGTTTGAATCACAGCTTGCCCGGGCCATCAAAATATGGTGATGAGCGTGAAGAACGTGTACACCTCAGCTGGAGCACGGCATGTCAATGGGTGTCACGTGTGCAGTAGCAGTTATTTGGAGAATGCTTTGGGCCAACAGGAAATGCATCATGCCCTTTTGGTGGCTTTTTGGTAAGCCCTATTATGCTTTTGGTCTCTTCAGAATTGGGCATCAGGGAAGCTTTTCACGATGTGCTAGCACACTATCACGGATTGGAAGGTGTTGACGCTCACATCAGGAAGTAGCGTGATTGTCTGGCATGGCAGATTGAGGGGAGGTTGCTCCGTGTGAATCTGCATACCTCCATTGTTGAAACCGTGAAAACTATGAGAACACCCTGGACATTATGATATATATATATCAAGCGTTCAGCACTGTCGAACATATTTATAGGATCCGCGTTTTTAACAAAGACACAGCAGGCTGGGCCAAGCTTGCCGCTTGCATGAGGTTCCTGACGTGATAGCAGGGCCCCTGCCAACAATCCCTGTTCCGTAGGCAGTGCCAACGAGTTGTTCCTGTCCTTGCAGCAATAGAATGTGCTTTATTTCTACGCCCATGGCAGGTGACTCTCCTTTGCGCAACTTCCGCCCAAAAAGTTTGCCACATGCCACTTGAGGCCCGGGCCAAGCCCACGGGATAAGCAACCAGCCACCTCACGTGAAGCAGTTGTGGCAAACGGATCCTAAGAGCGCAGCGGCCGCATGTTCTCAATTCAGGGAGTGCCGCTGTTCGAAAAAATTGCTTCTCCGCGGTGCATCAGGACTCTGCAATCTCCAAGAGCGGTTCAGTGATGAATATCATGGCGTACTAAATCAAACTTGGAGTATAGGACCGTCATAAGTCCGTCATAAGTTGCTCTTCTTCTACCCGGGCGAAACGAAGGCTGTATAACAGGAGGATGGGATCCTTGACACAAATTTGGGGTGAGGACTGAGGAACCAGGATCGAGCCTACACAATGCAGAAGCTTGCCATGTACTTGCTTGGACTTCCAAAAAGATACATGCGGAGACTCGCATTCTTATCCACTGACAGTCAAACAAACACGCGAAGATGACCCCACTCGAGGCCTACTCTCTGATGAAATGTACGAGTAGCAAGCCCCCATAGGAAGCCTGCCTCTGATCCTGCATGGAAATCGCGATGGCGAAAAATCTCGAGGAGGAAGCCGTCGCCCATGCTGCGCCAGCGGTGCGTTGCTGGTGGGCGGGGGGGGGGGGCGGGGGAGGCCATCTTTCGTATGTTATGCACCTCGTATTTTGCTGCGAATCAAACCAAACCACTTTTAGAGCAGGCCTGGCTGTGTCCAAGGACAACCCACTTCGCTCGCGCAAGCACAAGAGCCACCTGCATCTTGCATGCACGGGTTAAGCAGGCGGCGCGCATCCAACATGAAGAGCACCCGGTACTCGCAGCTTCAATAATAATGCATCACTTGCCCCAGAAACTGCTCACTCTGCCTCAAAGACTGCTCAACCTAACAGCTCATAGCATCCAGCTGCGTCATAGTTGGCACAAACAACCTCCATGGACCACGGCTGAAGATGTGGCGAACAACATTGTTTATCAACATATGGGTGTGGCGTGTAATGGAGAACCCTGCGCCTTGGCGGACATCATTTGGAGTGTTGTGTCCAACCATTTTTGGGAGGATCATTGAAACTCCATAAAAAGGGGAGAATCTTATGCTGAAGGTTGACGTGCAGGCGTGTGGCTTCTGATGCAAACACCATGGGTAATTGTTTAACTGCTGCAGTTACGTCAATTTGCGGACTCACATTGTGCGGTAGCAGAATTCTTGGAACATTGCATGAGGTTAGCAGGACGAAAAGACAATCATACTGGCGGGACTTTGAAACGTAGCCACAAAAACATCAACAGTTGACAAAGGTCCCTTGGACACAATACCATGGGTCAGGGTGCGGATACACCTTCGGGTGGCTGCACTTCACTCTCCCCGCCTACGCAAATGGCTGCCAGGATGGTCCCAAAGGTTGACCTTGTCACGGCTGATCCCAAAAAACTTCGAGACATACGTTCGATCGGTTCTCCGATTGGTTCTCTTTTCGGCCCGTTCACCCAACTGGACCCTTTTGTTGAAAAGGACATAGTGAACCCTGTGGGCTTTTTTAGGGTTTCTTGCAGCTGATTGAAATTGGAATCTATCATTGTAGTATTGCCCCAAATTTCCCGTACGCAATGCTAGTGTTGTGGCTCATTGCTGGCATGATGCGATTTTAGGCGGCCGCTGGGCTGCCCACACAAACACACATACACACAGGAAAACCAAAAGCCACCCGAAAGCCCTCGCAAGGCTGTGGGAACCGCACGCGATATCAACACTTTAGTAGACAACCAACCCCCTAGCACAAAAAAAACCTGAGTCGTTCTTCAAAATCCCAGTCCAATACTAATTAGAATAGCCAGACTTGCGATTTCTCCCACCGACCTCTCCTGCCGTCGTACTAGCGACCCTCTGCCGCAATCTAGACATGACAGGACCTACACAGAAGTTAAAAAAAAGAGAGTTGCCAGCCCAAAACTGAAACAAGGAACCCCTAATAATGATGAACCCTTTCTCATCAGGATTCGCTTTATCAATTGGGAGAAGGGATTAATTGTTGAAGCAATAGATACCCGAATAACCAAGCTTCACCGAAACGCGAATCGTGCAGCATGACACTTGGAAACACCCTTCAGCACAAGCAGCATGCCTCCCCGTGGCTGGTTCCGGTTCCGTGACATGTTGCAAGATTGGCGTCCCACAAAATACCCTCGGAAGCATTTGCTTCACATGAACTTGATTGGAGGTAATTGGCACCTTCACCTTCTCCCACAATGGTTCTTCCACGGCCACACTGCCAAGGGAGAATCTGCCTTCACCCTTAAAGCAAATGTCCGAACTCTGTCCACAGCACACGCGAGCATAAATGCAAGCCACAGATCACCCGGCACGAGAGCTGAGTTGCCAGCTTCAGCGACACAATGATGCCAAAGAGGGCCAGGAAAACGATCGGGATGAGCCTTGGGCGATAGTGGAAGCACTGAAGGCAAGGTAGGCTCATCACTTTAACTATCTAGTATCAAGCTAGAATGCGCTCGGCCGGCTGCGCAGGTTCTGGTGTGAAATAAGCTTCGGCATTCGCTTCTCACATTGCGTTGATTGCTTCAATACTTCGTTGCCAAGTCGCCCATAGCCCAAAATGCTCATCGTCCTGTAGAGGTCGATTCCTGTGGCACCACCCCAATCTCGGATAAGACATTTGTGGACATAACTAGGGCTTGGGGTACGGCAATCTTGGAATTTCTTGACGATCCCCATGTCGCCGAAACATGTCTGAAAAACTGAAGTGAACCCAAAATACCCTTTCGCAAACCTAGTACATGTCCAGGCTTTCTCAACTCAAAGTTCGGGTCAACCTTGAGGTGATGACGCTTGGGCAAACATTTGATCCAATCATACTTGTCCCACTCTCCGGTCAGCAGAAACGGCGCCCCGCGTTGTTCAACATGTTCCTGCGGGCAAGCCAACATGTGCAGGCCAGTGTTCTTCCCATGGTGGAGACCTGCACTGCCTACACACATGAGAATCTGTCGAAATTGGGGGGGGACTCCCAAACATGTTGGATTTCTTTTGGGTGTCCAGAAGACAACCCCAAAAGGGTACCCTCAACAACACACACACACACTCACACACACACACACGCACACACGCACACTCACACACACACACACACACACACTTATGCGATCACGTCTGGTACAAGCGACACGTTGCCTTCTTTCTGGCTCATGACGTTGATGAGGCAGCAGATGCCGAAGGAGCCTCCCGCGGCTAGACCGTAGACGTACCTGAAGGGGCCATTGTCAAAAGCGCACCATGAAATATTCTTTAAGCAGGCGGGATGAATACAATATGTCAACAATGTGTGATATTAAACATATCGACAGAATCAGGGCTGTCGGCTCGGACGGC